AATGATATATTTTCCCCTATTAAAACGTAAAAGTTAACCGGAATCAGTTCGTAAGAGAACAAGGCGTGACACCACCAAACATCAAAGAAATTAGCTGTAATTAACAATTGTATTCCTAAAAAAACCTAAGTATACAAATCAATACAAATTCAGAACAAAACTTGCAACTAGACCTGACAGGGTATGCTGATCGTCACACTCACTGGGGTTTTCTAGTAAGTGTGAGTGAGTGAGTGAGTGAGTGAGTTTAGTTTTACGCCGCTTTTAGCAATACCCCACCGCCCCAATCCAACTTGCAACTAGACATGACAGGGTATGCTGATCGTCACACTCACTGGTGGATTTCTAGTAACTTGAACAGACTAACATCTAGTCTCTGAAATACACATATTTTACAGAAAAAACGGGTCCTAAATTATAATCATAAGGGACAGTTCATAATTTGGGGGGACATCAATTTTGTACACATGCACTGGGGGGTCAGCAATTTTGTACATATTAATCTTAAAAACTTAAGCTTATAAATTATTAGAGGGGTTTCATTCACATTGTAATTGCTTTTTCCTTAAAAATCGTCATCACTGCCCCTAGCCATAAATTATGAACGGTCCCTAAATTATAATGAAAAAGGGACCAGAGACTTTCTTCAATTCCTAAAACTGTGGTAATCTAGACTAGCCACATATTCAAGACTTGCATGGACGGTTTTGGTTATACATGTATTTGTTTCAGGGTCTGTATGACAGACTAGTAACCTGACATGTATAAAATGAGATGAAAGGGAAAAACTTGCTCCCCTTTTATACCTAAGAAATACACACATTCCATTATAGTCTTGACGGCATTTGATTCTAAAATAAGCTTTCCAGATCAATTTACACTGTTTAGTGCAGGGGCTTGCGTAATTCCGTGAGAATTACATGTTAATTGTTTGAACCAATATTACTAATAATCACTATTGTGTATGGATTTAGGAAAAATATGGTTCCATTTCTTTCTGTTTGCTGTAAGTGTCATTGTGGGGTGATTGAATATGAGTTCCCAAAATTGCTTGCGACAACATTTCGAGAAAAAATGTTTTCATAAACCTATTACAACATAGTCATGTAGCATATCAAAAGGCAGCTTATGATGTATGACATAGAGATAACCACATAATATGCTTCTAATTTCAATTTGGTGACATAAAATATGACATAATCATATAAATTAATCAAATATTGTCTTCCTTCATCGGACACCAACATTGTAAGTATTGGCCTATATTAATGGAAATAATTTATTCAATTAATGTATTCTCCCATTTCATAATATATACTACCATGACACACTTTAATATCATATAGTCAGGCCTACCGGTACAGTCAGGGTTGACATATTGACACTCGTGTCTGGGTAATTAATTGACATAAAGCCAAATCTGCAGTCGGTGTAAACTGAATGTATTAATACAGGAGTGACAAATCATATCATAGTGAACTGATAACTACATACTAGTATTACAGGACCGCCTCCGTGGTGTAGTGGTTAGAGCGTCCGCCCGGAGAGCGGAAGGTCGCGGGTTCGATCCATATTTTACCAAAAGACGTTAAAATATGGTACATGCTGTTCCGTACTGTACAGTTTGACCGGATATCCTCCGAAGTCCGATGCTGTGCTCTCACCCGTGGCAGTACGATCACGCAAATGTAGTACCCGGATCGATGTACCGATCTTGTGCTGCAGTGGTGACTCGAGGTCTGCCTGTACGGGGACGGTCATTTATTATACCTGTTTGGTTGTAACGAGCTGCAATCCGTGACGTCGTGCTCAGACTAACATTCAGACGCCTGGCAACAGAATATTGGTAATCTTCAGCGTGCATTGTTTCAATGGCGATGTTCCGTGTCGCAGCGTCAAGACGTGGCGTAATGATTTGACCTTGAAACTTCTTCAAAACGAATGTCGATTTCCGAAAGTAATCTGGATTGTTATTTGCCAGACAGTGCATACTCTTTGTTGCACAATTTCAACTGGAAGGTGATTTCTGTTGCGTTGTGGCGATGCCTTTTTAATCCTTGTAAGAAATCTCATCAAAATCAACATTTTCAGGAAATGTCGATTTTTTACTTGTGCAATTGTGTAAAATCATGTTACCAACACTTTAGTTACATATTTTGACGATTGTTTGAACACAATAGGTAATTGATAGATTTTAAAAAATACAAATCGCCTATGCGTTTCTTTTTTGGATAGTATACATCACTGTTATTACTATTTATGAAAATAATATATCTGCTTCGAAGATTGGCTAGTCGCTGGTGAAATACGAATATAATATATATCTGTGAGGAATACTGGTTAGTCCAATATTGAACAAGCTAATGGATAACAGCTTCTTACATTACGTGAGAGCGACGTTTCGATACAGATTCTTGTACCGTTGTCAATCAGTCACCAGAGCTCCAGATAAGAATTAGGTCATGTGGGTACTGTACCCACTGTATTTTTTTGGAGTGGGTATTATGAATGTTGAGTAGGTATTTCATTTTCCGTTACCCACTGCTTTCAAATATGTGGGTATTTCAGTCATTTTACTCACCTAAGTATTATGTCATTGAGTAAGTTTACTAAGCAGGTATGTACTGCCTTATGTCATACCTAATCAAAACCAACTTAAATATAATGGAAATGATTTCATAAAAAATCACTCATCCTATACTGACAGTACAACACTTGTCCTATACTAACAGTACAACTTGATAGCAATCGATGTCTTTTTCATTACGCAAGCGATTTTTATAAATATACTCTGTACGCATTTGTTTTAAACTTTTTGCGTATCTAACATTTTAAATACGTAATTGGTACGCAACAATTATTTTTTCAATGCGTAATTGGAAATTTTCTATGCGTATTTTACCCGGATACGCAGCTTATCTGGGCCTCTGAGTCAAGCAGGAATGCCTCTCAAAGAAGACTGGCTAGTCGTCCGTTGTAAAACGCGAAAATGATAAATCTGCATGGAAGATTGAATAGTCGTATCTTATGTGTGGGAGACTGACTAGTCGTCGTTTGTGAAATAGGAACTGATACATCTCCGTGAAAGATTGGCTAGTCGTCGGATTTTGAACACACACTCGATCGTCCCCGTCCCCTGAGAAAGAATCACGACATACTGTTATGATTATTTAACGATACCTGCATGTGTGCTGATATTAATAAACTGAAAACAAACCAATCTGTTTATTTGGAATATCTTTTACACACATGACTAAAAATGCAAATTATTCTTAAAAAGAAAAATCCAATTTGTTCGCCATTAACATAATCACTGAGTTTAGACCACGTGGTTTACAGCCCGCCTGAGGACAGTCAGTCAGGTGTCAGCGAGTGGTTCTGTTTAGCAGAACGAACATTTGAGAACATAACGTTCAGCTGTTTTATTGAAATCTACATTGATCAAGTGAGAGGGACCGCCTCCGTGGTGTAGTGGTTAGAGCGTCCGCCCGGAGAGCGGAAGGTCGCGGGTTCGATCCCCGACCGCGTCATACCAAAAGACGTTAAAATATGGAACTTGTTGGTCCCTGCCTGGCGCTCGGCATTAATGGGTACAGCAAGGACTGGTCGGCTCGGAGTCAGTATAATGTGTCTGAGTGGGGTATTAATGCTTCACTGCGGCATGGTATCTCAGTGGGCTAGCACTATAAAACCAGCTTCAGTCTGGGCTAGTACAAGCAGCCGCACCTACACGTACACGCGCATGCACGTCGTCATATGAGCGAAATATTCTCAAGAACGACGTTAAACCGAATTTCACCTCACCTCAAGTGAGAGGTGTCGTAGCCTTGATGTTAAAGCGTTCTCTCGTCACGCCGATTAGTCTGGGTTCTATTCTCCACATGGGTACAATGTGTGAAGCCCATTTCTGGTGTCCCCCGCCGTGATATTGCTGGAAAATATTTAAAAGCGGCGTAAAACTAAATTCACTCACTGCTAAATGTCACCGCTCGTAGCTGGCTGTCGATTCTTACCCGTTGTACCTTGTGATGAAAGGCAACAAAACAATTTTAGCTTCAAACGAAATCTCAGCTTGTACGAATCCTTCTGTCATACTCCTATAGTGTTTAAAATCTTTAAAAGATACATCCTTTGTCGCCGGTATGACTTGTTTTCACTTTGTAAATATAACGAAACTGAATGACATATACTCCGTCATTCCCAGTTTCTCGTGGATTATTGCCTATTTTTTTAAATTCCACAAACATATGATGGTACAGCAAAGTGTGTAATTTCTGAAACATATTGTACCCCGACAGCATTAGTTACACAACATGTGATTATCGCTAATATTTTCATGCGGTGTTAAGCGGCAATTAACACAAACAATTAACACTATCATCATCAACCCAGTAACACGAAAATGTAATAAAAACATCGCCAAATCACACCGCGAAATGTTCCAGAAATGTTTTTAAAAGGTTTTATTCACGTGAATTTGTATGGTTCCAGAATCGTTTTAGAAACAATTTCGTAAACATTTGACTATAATATTTTTTAAAATGTTTTTGTTTCCGTTGAGAAATGCATGGGCACCAAGTGTTTTGAAAAACGGTTCTATATGTTAATGTGTATTATTGTTCCAGAAATGTTTTAGCAATGTTTTCTATGAACATTCGGTTATAACATTTGAATAATGTTTTTACAAAATATTCCATGAAGGCTTCTGAAACATCATCATATCTCCAAATATCATCGTCGTCGTCGACATATCATCATCATCATCATCGTTACAACATTGTTAATGCAAATACAGGGAGTCACTGATTAATTATAGTATCCTCAATAACTCATATTATCTTACCAGTGATAAGTACTATTATTGACACTTACTAATAAGATTTTATGATCGCTACTGGGCGCGAGTACCAGCATGTCCGATGTAAACACCACCACGTCATTTCCATTTCTGACAGCCAATCCGCGGCTATTTCCGGTGCGCGCATGACAATTTCCCGCGAAACACTTTCATGGCGGAGTGTTGAACCGCGCTAGGGAAATAGCAGTAATATATGTTGTCAATGGATGATGTTTGGTGAACGAAATTACACAAGCTGGTGCCTAGGATACTAAGGTATATATCAAGTGTCTCCCGGGAGAATATTGTTGTCAAAGTTTGTCGGAATGTTGAGGTGGTTGCTGACGATAGTCACCTGATGCTGATCTTGCGAGTTTTTCGTTTTGTTCACATCGGTCTTCACACGAGTACGTCAAATACTTTCTCGATCACGATAATTTTGTTAGCATTTCAGAGTGATATTCCAGAGACCGCTGGACTATTTTACTGAGAAGTAAACAATGACATAGTGTATTTATTATACGACCTGTCCCAAAACATCACAGACAACGTGCTCTTGAATGGTGAAAGGCATTTAAATGTTTAATTTTGAAGGTGTATTTAATTTACGATTATTTGGTCCCGAGTATGTATGTCTGTTATAAATGTCGACACGGAATCTCTCGTGAACAAGATGTCAAAATAAAGATATTACATAATACATATGACGTAGGCCTACATTGTATTATATATTGTATAAACACAACTGACCACACAACAATGATCTTCTCGTCATCTTTGTCTCTGCTCCTATGGAATCGTATGGCTGCCAGTAATTCAACTGTTGCAGACATGGCGTATTCTGTGAAAGTATCCTTGTAGTTTTCAGGGATTTACCTAGAGTCCTGTATTTGACGGTCCATGGGACTCATGCTTGTAATTTTCAGGGGTCCTGGACAACAAAATGGGGGTCCCTGACACTTGAATATTATTATTAATACTGTAATTGTATTGTGTATCATGATCATCACATTGTTACAGTAATTAAATTGCAAATGATACCATAACCCAGCTAGTAGCAAGCTCAGTGATAACTTATTGTTACTTGATGTGAATTTTTACAAAAGTATTTGGACTTTTTCTGCGTCCATGTGGATGCGTTAATAAATTTTGTTGCGTCCATTGTCAATTTTGATGCGTTTAGGATACAGGAATTTGGTTTTGTTTACCAGATTCATTCCAGGCGTGTTGGCAGTATAACTGCTTGTGCAGGGCTTAAGAGATGTTAACCCACTTGCACCAGGTGCAACCTAAGATAAAAACCTAGTTGCACCAGTCAAATTCCAGTTGCACATTTTTATTGCAATATGTAATGAAAGAAATATGCTATTGAATTATTTAGATGTTTTATTCAGAAGTTTACCCACTCAAAAATTGACTTGCACCTGGTGCAAGTTAGACTAATAACTAGGTTGCACTTTGTAATATTGGGTTGCACCAGTGCAAGTAACAAAGCACTAAATCGAGCCCTGTTGTGGCTTTCAGTTCTCCCATATCAAGCTGAATGATTAACCTGAAATATTGTACAAAGTGTTGTGAAACCCACTGTTATCATTTGATTCCATGAATGAAAGCTGTCATACAGTTGAAATATAGAGAGGCATAAAGCTACATGCAAATGGTACTACCCTTTTGCGGCGTTGGTGGTCATTGAGATTATTTAATCATGATTCTTGTTTTGTTCTACAATGCTATACATCACTTGGAAAGAATGTAATGGAAATGTGAACTATTTTATAACGAATCTTTGTTCCAGTTAATGTCAGATTAGGATGGTAGCAGCCTCCTCAACGAGCAGCATGAATCTGTCGGTCATCTTGACAACGCTTGAGTCCAAGAAAACCAACTTGGATGATAAGATCGAAGCCTACACAACTCTCTCAACGTAGGTGCCGAGCGTGATTCAATATGAACTTCTACATCATCACGGTGGGGTAGCCCAGTGGTTAAAGCGTTGGCTCGTCACGCCGAAGACCCGGGTTCGAATCCCCACATGGGTACAATGTGTGAAGCCCATTTCTGGTGTCCCCCGCCGTGATGTTGCTGGAATATTGCTAAAAGCGGCGTAAAACCAAACTCAGTCAGTCTACATCATCAAACAAATGTGTATTCTGAAATACTTGTCCCAAATTCTATGAACTGTCAAGTTCTCACTGTTGAATATTAACAATATAAATCATGGTGTTATGGTCATAACCTAAATTTAAACACCAGAGTTTTAGGGGAGATTTTACATCATGACTACTTGGGTTAAGATTGGTTTTCAGCAACCCATGCTTGTCAAAAAGAGGTGACTAATGGAATATGGTGGTAGGGTCAGACTGAATGACTTGGTAAATTTATGTGATCATGTCTCAGTTGTGTCCAGGGGTGCTCATGACGTCAATCACTAGATTGCCTGGCATGCAATAGCATATTTTGTTTCTTCAATATAGATCACTGGATTGTCTGGTCCAGGCTTGACTTTTTATAGGCTGCAGTCATATATTTATCATATTTCTGAGGGTGGCTTTAGACAGCAGACAAAGTGTGCAGGGCTCCAGATAAGGGCCGTATCGGTAGCATGTACGGATAAAAAATATGCGCACCACAGCAATGCTGTACGGTCTTGGAATCATTTACAGACGTAAGAGTGTTGTTTATTGTTTATTGACCTGTTTACACAAGAGTAGCAATGTTGTGGTGCATATATGAAACGAAACACAAGATTACTGATACTCCATTAATTCCATTCAGTACTCAAATGTACTCTTAAGTTTATCCAGTACTCCTATATTGAAAAAATAAGAGTACATACTCCTGATGTTGAAGAATTATCTGGAGCCCTGCTGTGGTATGTATCATGTTATATACTCAATGCTTTTCCAGACAATTACGAGAAAAGGAGTTGAGTTTCATCAGCCTTGACCTTACAAAGCAAGCTGACCGAGTATTGACGGTGTTGAAGAAAGATATACAGAATGAGTCCAATGCTGTCCGCCAAGGGGCGCTGCAAGTGCTCGGCTTTTGTCTCCACGATACAGAAATAGTCAGGTATGTCTGGAATCTGGATCCCAAATTGACGTCAGTTTTATCAACCAACCCCATTCTTGACTGAGTCTTTGGTCCTAAACCATATTTTACTATCTTGTCCATCGTAATCATGTTTATGGTGAGTTAAAATGTAAACTTGCACAGTCATTACAGATTTATTGATATCACAGTTTAGTATGATCTCCCAAGGACTCAGGCCAGTGCTGTCTGTGTTAAGCTCGCTACTGACCATGCATAGCCATTGATATTCACGCTGGTCTGTTGATCCGCGTCTACATAATTGAGTTGAGGACAAGTAACAATACAATGATTGTCATTCTCATAGAGCAACAGTTTTATTGGGTGATAATTCTGAACTAGAAATATTTTTCATAAGTTTTCCGTCATGCATGCACATCTTTATCTGAAGTTTTGCTACAGAGGTAAACCTTTCAAGTTAGAACTAAATACTAAGACTAGTAGTAGCAGGGAAGCAATAATGTTGGTCCGATTAATAGGAGAAGAAGAAAATAATCGAAGCTTGGTCTATGGTGATTAAGCGACCAAGCAATCGATCATGTTTTCTCATTTATCGAACACAAACAATTCTGGAACATTTGTTTGCATTAATAATATTTTTCACAAGGCTGATCCCTTTGTCTGTCATTAACTATTTACACATATTCAACATTTTGAAGAAAACATCATGAGATGAAGCTCAGGTGTTTACATTAATCACTTTAATCACTACAAGCTCGCTACCCTTATTTTTCATGTCATGATTGAATTTTATCTTAAAGACTTCAAGAAATTTATGTTCCTAACATACTAGTCATCCTTTAAAGATGTGAAATTAACAAATGCATTTTGTGCAATTTGCGAAAAAAACACCCCAAAGAACTACATGTTTTTTCTATATATTTTTTTTCATTAACAAAAATAACCAGGAAAATTTCATAAATGATGCTAACCAATTATTTTAGATGATTGATCGGTTGTAATGAACCAATCATCAATTATGAGATTTTAACCAATTCCCAACACTAGCAAGCAATCATGTGATCAAACATGGCAGCGTAATCAAAACATCGTCAGCTCAATTCCATTCATTGCTTAACAAGCTCAATTCAGGTTATTTGGTAAATAACCAGTGTGAAAAGTAGATGAACAACATCAAAGATTCAGGGTGTCATATTTTATCATCAACACAGATTCCTGAGTTTGCATTAATTTCGTGACGCATTTTAGACTAGACCCTCACACTCGCATTAAATTCATGACGCATTAATTTCATGATTTACAGTAGAACTAGCTGTGAAAATGCATACAAAGTTTACAACATTTTTGTCTCATTCAACCAGGACTAGCGTCAAAGTGTTATTAAAAAGAGCTTTAGATGAGTCCCCCGGGCAAGTATTAATCTGTGTTGGAATCTTCCTTTTACCATGTCAGAGAGCGGTTGGGTAGCCTCGTGGTATTAAAAAATAGAATCTTGCTAAACGTGGCATAGAACTAATCTATCTCACTTACATTGTCAGGTTCCTGACTCCGGCCTCGAGCTGCGAGCTCCTCACTCTGCTGCGACAGTGTGTGGAGAAGACCGAGGACAAGACAACAGCAACTCGGGCGCTGTGGTGTCTCAGTCAACAGCATTTTGCTGAAGCCGTGGTTGTGAAGGAGGTGAGGCCAGGGTCTGATCACAGCTGTAGCCCGTGGTTCAGGCTTTGAATTGCCCCGCACAACCTGTGCTCGTCGATGTCATGTTGATCCCAAGTCAGAATTGGTCCTCGGCAAGAATGGCCTCAATAAAGCTGTCGTCTTGTCAGCTAAGAATACAAATATATACCAACATTTTGATTCTGTCATTGAGTCATTGTCTAATCACTTTAAGAGTTATTGTGGTTGAGATGTCCATTTAACAATTAGGCAGAGTTTTCTTTCTTAAATCTTTGATTCTGGTTCAGTATTTCCCGATTGTATTTTTATGAAACTTACAGATAACACATAAGCAACAGAACTAAAACTGTAAAGCTTGTTCCTACTGTCTGATTGTACAGTGATGGTTGATTGTCCTGAACGGTTTGTTCATCCTTCATCTTAGTATTTCGTTAACTTGTCATCCTGAACAGTTGGTGCGTCCTGTACATTAAACTTGTGCAGTGAAATGATCGTCTTGAATTGATGTTGGAATCATTTCAGCTGCCGGTGTTACTAGTCATGTGTGAGCTTGCTTTTAGCAAGTGGAAGAACCAGTCTACTGCAGTGGAATACGAAGCTCTCAATGTTGTCTCCAGGTAGGGCTGTCGTCAGTTAAGCCTCATGTTTTCTTCACCTAAATATGAGCTCATAGTATGAGTCTTCAGCCATCTGTTAACACTCTTATGTAAAATATTTAGCCAAGTGGTAGATGCATTTGTTTGTCATGCTGAAAACCTGGTGCAATTCCCCACATGGGTAAAAGGTGTTCTGTATTCAGTATCCACAATTATGATCTGACTAGAACGTTGCTATAGGCTCACTCACTCGCTATAATGTGCATGCCCATGGTTTCGGGTAAATCATACAATGTTTCTCTTCAGAAAATACTTGTGCTTATCTGGTATAATATTATTGCCTTGTAACTATTGTTGAATTTATTTTTTAATTTCCTTGAACATTACCTTTGAGAACAAATTTAACGTGATCTTGCAAGCTGTTGGGAAGTGCTGTCGGCCATTCATAGTTATCCTTGGTGTCTGACTCTGTGTTTGGGACATAATATATTGTATTTTTCTGCCAGATTTGTGGACCAAATTCCTGCCGAGATGAAGTCGAGTTGTCCGAAGTGGGCCAAGCTGGTCGTGACCCTCGTTGCTCACCCTGCCATCAAGATCCGGGGAGAGAGTGCTTCCTCTGCTGGACACATGTCTGCCCTGGATGGTCAGCAATAAGGAGCTGAGGACCGGACTTGTCCAGGACTTCCGAACGGTAAGTACCGTCCTGTATAGGGGGGAATAGTTCACATGGTGTTGACCACACAGGTCTGTTACTGTAGTAGCCTCTTGTTTCCAGACTGTCATCTGATTATGTCATATAATGTGTATGCTGATGTTTCTCCGACGGGCCAGTTCAGGGGTAGTGTTGTCTTTCAAAGTGTCATAATGTACTGTGCAAAGCTGCATTCTTTTCGTAAGCTATAAACTTTGATTATGGGTTCGAGCTTATGGTGCCTTTAGTCAGCACCAAACTCATGCTCTCAGTAACCGTGACGATCCAGGTTAGAATTGGTCCTCAGCAACTAATGCTTATAAAAGGCGATGAAAAGGATCGGGTGGTCAGGCTCACTCGCTTGGTTGACACATGTCATCATGTCCCATTTGCATAGATGGATGCTCATGTTGATCACTGGATTGTCTGGTCAGATTATTTACAGACCGCTGCCATAGTGATGGAATATTACAGAGTGTGTTGTTAAACAACCAACCAACCATACTCACGGCTTTCACCAAAGTGGTGCACACCTGACATGTTATGACTTGAGTCTGTCTTGTGACGTTAGGCTGGGATGCAGTAATAAGACTGAAATTCTGTTGAAAGCAGGTACAATAAAAACTCACTCTCTCAACAGAAACAGTGTCCGGAGCTGAAGAAACTGTTCCATGGCAATGAAATCTACGTATTGAGAGTGTGGAGGATTCTGGTGAAGCTTTTCGGAGAGGTAAGTAGAAATAATATCTACATCGGGTCTTTTTAAGAATAAACACCAATTCATCGAAGTGATCTTTGAATTATGGTTGTTACAACAGTCTGTTCTTACGTTCCATGGTGGACTAAGACTTCTAAATTATTTGGTTGAGTTATTTGCGAATGAATTAAGCCAGAAGGTCACTTTACGTAAAATGTGTGAGAAAGATAATCGCAAACCTAAGATAATTATGATAATATGTGTTCCATTCTCAGACAATGAAGGCTTGTTTCGAGGCTTCAATAACTCGAATCTGCTAAGCAAGTGCAGTCTACTGATGATTTCAACATGCTTTTGGCAAAACTACTGAAAACAAACAAATAAAATCATGAGTAAAATTTATCCAAGTTAGTCCCAGCTGTTGTGTTGTTGTGAATATAACAACTGTGTGGTGTTCCAGGAACTCCACCATGGGAGCTTCATCAACCACATGCTGCCGCTAGCAGAGCTCGGCTTCAAACATGCCTTGGCGGAGGTGAAGATTGAAGCCTTCAAATCATGGAAATACCTCATAGACAACTTTGCTCTCAATCCAAGTAAGCATCACTGGTTTCCCTCATCCTGCACTTCACGATTACCAGCTGCTGGACCCCAGGGGATACTATGAAGAATTTGTACCATCAGAAATCAGCTTTCATAATGCATTGTTGAACAATGTTTGTCGTGATAATGTCCACAACTCAATAGTCAGCCATGATACTACTAGAAGACATTCTGTTTTAGTTCGTATGTGCTGTTTATTTAATCCATTTCTGTAGTGTTTCATGTGATACAATTATTCGTATTAATTTTCAGGTATAATCAGTGATCCAAAGAGGGTGAAACTCATAATGCAAGTTTTCAAAATTAATAATGCCAAAGTGGAAAGCGTTGCCATGGAGAAACTTCAAATATGGTGGCATTTTGTCAGAGCTCTTGGTGCCAAAATATCCCAAAATTTTGACCAGGTATGTTTTAGATTGTTTTTGTTTTTGTTGTTAAATAATCAAAATACTAATGTATCGGTCTTATGATCAGTATGTAACTTGAGAATATCACTACTTCAATGATACATTAAGAGTGTGTACACTTTATTTAGGCCAACTTTTCGTTTCAGTCATTGTATCAATAGTGATATCAATAGAAAGCAAGTGAGCAAACTCAGTAAAGTATGGTGTAACTTGAATCCATCCACCCACCCATCCATTCATTCATCCATCCTTCATCCACCCAGCCATCTTCCATCCACCCAACCATCCTTCATCCAACCATCCTTCAGTCATCATGGATCCATCCACCCACCCAACCATCCTTCATCCATCCCTTCTCCATCCAACCATCCTTCATCCATCATGCATCCACCCAACCATCTTTCATCCACCCAGCCATCTTCCGTCCATCCAACCATCCTGTATCCATCCATCCATCATGCATCCATCCAACCATCTTCCATCCATCCAACCATCCTTCAGTCATCCAACCATCCTTCAGTCATCATGGATCCATCCACCCACCAAACCATCCTTCATCCATCCCTTCTCCATCCAACCATCCTTCATCCATCATGCATCCACCCAACCATCTTTCAGCCATCTTCCATCCACCCAACCATCCTTCATCCAACCATTCTTCAGTCATCATGGATCCATCCACCCACTCAACCATCCTTCATCCATCCCTTCTCCATCCAACCATCCTTCATCCATCATGCATCCACCCAACCATCTTTCATCCACCCAGCCATCTTCCATCCATCCAACCAACCATCCATCCATCCATCATGCATCCATCCATGTAACCATCCTTCATCCATCCAACCATCCTTCATCCATCCAACCATCCTTCATCCATCCATCTAACCATCCTTCATTCATTCATCCATCCATCTATCCATCCATCCATCCAACCATCCTTCATCCATCCAACCATCCTTCATCCATCCATCTAATCCATATCATCATTCATTCATTCATCCATCCATCTAACCATCCATCCATCCAACCATCCTTCATCCATCCATCTAACCATCCTTCATTCATTCATCTAACCATCCTTCATTCATCCATCCATCTAACCATCCATCCATCTAACCATCCTTCATTCATTCATCCATCCATCTAACCATCCATCCATCCAACCATCCTTCATCATCCATCATGTATCCATCCAACCATCCTTCATCCATCCATCCATCCAACCATCCTTTATCTATCCATCCATCCAACCTTCCTTCATCCATCCAACCATCCTTCATCCATCCAACCATCCTTCATCCATCCATCCATCAATTCAACCATCCATCCATCCTTCACCCATCCATCCATCCTTCATCCATCCACTCATCAACCATCCTTCTTCCATCCATCAATTCAACTATCCATCATCCGTCCAACCATCCATCCATCCATCATCCTTCCACCCATCATCCATCCATCCATTCATCAGTGCTCCCTTGTGTCCACCAGGTGGTGCTTCCGCTGCTACAGTTCTGTATTGGCGGCAGCAGAAACAGTTCCGTCCACCCCATGACGCCGACAACACCACACATGGGTTTGTAGTTTGTTGAGTAAATGAGTACCTAATTTCATGTGGCGACAAATTTCATATACTAAAATCACAGCAAGTATTTAACATTACGTTGGATAGCAATGTGTAATATTTGGTGATTCTGACCTCTTGCAGATGTAGGTAATTGTTCCATCATCTTGAATAAATCTTCAGATGTCGAATGTTGCTAAAAACTACTTGCTGACTCCTTAATCCAAATTTCAGGTCTAAAGAATGCCATGTCCAGTCCGGTCACTCCACGCCTCAACCTATCGGTCAGCAGCCCTGGGATGTCCCGCCCCGTCTTCCCCGCCCTGCAGCTCAAGGGCTGCGATGTCCTCGCCCACATCCTGGTGTGCCCCAGCAAGATGCCTGACCTCCCCAAGGTCGTCATTTCACTTGGTAAGTTTGGAAACACTTGGAAATATTCGATCCCAATGATGAAAGGATGGCACAGACTGTCCAGTGATTGTTATTGGTGAAAACAAGCCATGCTCGGTATGACAGGTGGGTTGTGGATGGTCCTTAACCTTTTCTTTACTAGTATATATGAAGATTTGTCCCTACATTAAAGCAAAGGTAATAAGATGGTGCAGCTGGTACATCAAAATGTACGAGTCAAATAACATCAAAATTCACAGAAAATGACCCGCAAAGTCACCTTTCAGTTAAGGACTGTAAATGGTTTGGAACACTGTTAAATCTTACTTTATTTAGTCTCTATTTGCTTAGTACAGCTGTATGATATTGGATGTTATTTAATTTGACCTTGGTTGTGTTGCAGATGGGCTGTCATGAGCGAAGTGGTCAGTGGGACGCCGATGTTCCTGAAACATGCATCTGTGATAGTGTCGTGCAGTCTCGACCTCATTGGTGCACAGGGATCGCACATACCAGGTAGGTGGTCTGCAGGACTTGGAATATTCAGTATGTGTCTTGGGATATTTGTGGGGGGTCTTGACATACTGGGTACATGACCCGACCCAGCTGGGACTGTGTTTCTTGGAGAGGAGTCTGTGAAGTGTTCTGTTTGGGTCAGACAGGCATATAGGGCTTTCAACCTCATTGTCTATTGTTATTGTTCTATTGTTCTATTGTTCTATTGTCTAGGACCTTGTGATTGTTTGCTTTATTTGGCACAGTGATGAGAAAAGCAGTCCAGTTATTTTCAATTTTCCATGTAACCTTTTCGAAGGGAAAGGGAGATAAGCATATACCATGAGTCAGGATAAGTATAAGATATCAATTTTATCATAAAAATTACACATTTTCATGGATGTTACTTTAGCTTCAGCAAATCATTCTAGTTCTAGTGTGCTCCCCAAAGCTCTTCCCCCAGCCTACAGTTACCTCCTTCCCTTTTCAGTCACTCACTCACTCCGTTTCAGAGTCCCTCCTGATGTACATCTGGCACTGCCTGCTGCACCACCTCCGGTCTGCCATCGAAGTCGTCCTCCAGGTCAGAGAACAGAGAAGCCTTGTCCAGCTTCCTCGGCCACTTCCAGACCCTCGTCTTCAGCCAGAGTCTCACGCCCAAAACTATCATGGTAGGTGCTGAATACATTGTAGCCAGCTGTCGACGGTAGGGATCATACAGGAGTTGTTCATAATAGTTACCTTCATTACAGATATGGGGCGGTGGGGTAGCCTAGTGGTTAAAGCGTTGGCTCGTCACGCCGAAGACCCGGGTTCAAATCCCCACATGGGTACAACGTGTGAAGCCCATTTCTGGTGTCCCCCGCCGTGATGTTGCTGGAATATTGCTAAAAGCGGCGTAAAGCCAAACTCAGTCAGTCAGTCATTATAGATATGGGCGGAGGGAGTCTGTAGGATCAACAGTAATGGACATCTGTTGCATCACAGTTTGTTTCCACACATAAAGACTTAGGGGACGTTGCTCTCTATCATGTGCATAAACCTCATGTGTGGACAAGTGTATTCCCAGGAAAACGGTCAGCCATCTAAACCCTACACAGATCGATGTACTGTACCAAACTTGAATAAATATATGAACCTGTATACAACTTGTGACATGACGGATACAGCATAGTCCAATGGGTGAAGTGGTGGCTTCACTCATCGAAGCCAAGGTTTATTTCTTCCATGGTGACAATGTGAAGTCTGAGTATTGTCTTGACTGAAGCTGCTCAAAATAACACTTGTGATGTTTCCTGCCATAATCCTCATCAGTATTGCCTGGTCTCGATGTGTCTTTGTGTATTTGAATGGTAGGAGTCAGTTTGCTGTTCTCTGTTTCCAGAAACTGTTTGTGCCTGTGTGTAACTTGCCCCAGAAGGCCCTCGCATCAACGGCATACAACATCAACAGCGGCAAGGTTGTTCGGGTAGGGGAACTTAGTCACATCTCACTTAAAAATAATTTAATTTTTTTAGTGCTCACAAGCAGTGGTGCAGATATCGAAATTCCTGTGGACAAGTAAAAAAAATATTTTTCCTTATCCTGACTCGTGCCTTATTGCTTTCTCATCCTCTCTTCCGAACAGTCAAGTGGAAACTTGAATCCCTTCAATTGTTTGAAGCAAACGTACAATCAATCACCCTGAGTTACCTCCCTTATTCCCGCTAAAACCGGCACGTGACCACCTCATGCTTGGTCCTCACTCTCTCTATCGCCCTAGTGGACGGTTGGGCAGTCACTTCAGGGTCCCTTTGCGGCTTATAACTTCAAAATTATCATAAAATTTACATGATTTTAGTCCTTGTAGATAAGTAGCATTTAAGGTTTTGAAACCGAATGCTTCAATTTTGTTACAACAATTGGAAGGGAATAAAACTAAAAATAATGTAAATATAGTCACTTGTAAAACAGTTTGTTTTGTTCATGCATGATTAACTACAAACAGAGGATAAGTGATACAATATTTGAATAGATTCCACCTGTCGACCAGGGTGACTTGGTTGATACCATGAGTACAGAGTGGATTGTTGTTCATAATGTCAATCACTAGATTGCCTGGTCCGGACTTGATTATTTGCAGGCTGCTGTCACAGAACTGTCACATTGCACAACATGGTATTAAACAATACAAACTTGTAAATGTCAGGGACATGCTCATTGCAGCATTGTTTCATGTTAAAGACGTTGCTCTGCTTACTGCGCGGTGTGAGATTTACCTCTGGTTCCTGTTGCAGGGCACACCTGCTCTGTTTCTCTGTGAAGTTCTGCTGGCGCCAACACTTCTTAAAGATTTAGCCAGCTCGGAAAAGTGAGTTGAATGTCTGCACATGTTGCTGACCATGTCAAATTTTTCACTTAATTTTGGTATGAACTGGTATGGGATATTTCAGTATAAGCCAATTATACCTTTCTGTGTCAAGATGTGAGCAAATGAGAAATGTTGATGGGAAGACACTGGATGATCCTCTCTATAAGTCATTAACAAGTCGCAGTTCTTAAATAAACGTGTTTTAAGATTGGTGGGTTTAAGTGAGAATTCCATACCTAGAAAATTCAACTGTTTATCAGGTGCTCTCTTTCTCCGTCTTAGGTGAACTATCACAGCCATGTAAAATGACGTCACTCGGAATTCTGTCACGTTCATTTTGTAATTAGATGATGTTACATTACAATGGATGTACATGATATATTTTGTTTTCAGTTGAAATAGAGTTGTCTAAGGAAAATTCATCAGATGAAATAATTGATTAACAACGTATCTTTTTTATGGAGCTAACTGACACGTTTTCCAAATTTGGGATCAAATTTAAATTATTTTTTTTACTTATTTGGAAAAGTTTTAGTATGCAATTAATAGGAAAATATCTGAACTTGTTACCCTTATTATTGTAGTTTTCCACAATCAATCTGATTGTTTTACATGTCCCATTCATTTGAAGTGATTATCCAACCAGGATATGATATTGACATCCTTTAGCATGATCAGTTACCTGTAACCAAGGTAAAAAGATACAGTTTTGTTGTGGCATTATTGTCAACCCTGAAAAGCCTGGAAAATCACATGAATATCTTGAAAACCCTTGACTCTTTTGGTCGTGTGACTAATGCAAGGTATTTTGGATTTAACAAGATATTGGTAACTGACCCTTGGTACCCTTCTAAATATGCAATCAAAATGATCGTTAAAAGCCTTAAAATGGCATTGAACATATTGTCACATATCTGTATGTACCATTCTATCATCTCCAGTTTCATCAGCCTGTTTTCGACTCTCATCAACTGCGGCACCAGCACAGTGACGGGTGTTCTGGAGTTTTGCCAGGCTGTGACCAACGTCCTCAATGAACAGGCGTCCTTCATCACCAACCCCGACGCCCTGTGGCGACTGTGGAGCATCTTGGCCAACACTCTACAGGAACATGTAGTCAAGGTAGGTCTAGATGGTTCCTGTCATCTTGGCCAACACTCTCTAGGAACATGTAGTCAAGGTAGGTCTAGATGGTTCCTGTCATCTTGGCCAACACTCTCCAGGAACATGTAGTCAAGGTAGGTCTAGATGGTTCCTGTCATCTTGGCCAACACTCTCCAGGAACATATAGTCAAGGTAGGTCTAGATGTTGTGTCATGCACACTTTGAATCTGTAGTCAACAAAAATTGTTTAAATGTTGGTGATGTTCCTCAACCACTGCAAAGGGGACGTTAACTCTTTCAACACCAGTCAACCAGAGGCATTTACTGCCATGACACCGAGTTCCCAGAGACTCTGAGGTCATAGATGAAGCCTATGTTTATGAAGGAAATTATAAGCTTGTAAAACGTTATTGCTACTACATCCCATACACCATTTAAAAGATCTAATCCTACTGTTGATAAATATGAAGTTTATTTTTATAATATTATTCAAATAATACAACTACAACTTAAATAAAATTATTTTGAATGAAAATGCAAGCTTACATTTATAACGCCCAGATAAACCACCTAAAGAAGCAAAACTAAGGCGATTTTTTCCATTTGTGACATGTCATAACATGCCCGTGCCTTTTCTTTTTATATTTTCACTTTTACGTAATCAGAAAATTATTATAAAAGATTTCTTAAATAATATGTATGGTCGCCTATTTCCCCGATATCTGTGGCTTTCCCGCCGGTAACATGACATAACAACGGAAAATACCTGCGCGCTCGGCTTCGTGATGAATAACATGGGAGGCTTAATCGCTTGATGCCGGTATCGCTCGAAAAGCTCTGAACATCAACAACATCACTGAACCCTTGCCGAGAGTATTTTCACAGTTGTAAGAAGCGATTTTATTGATAAAAATTGGTTTCTAATGACGCTTTTCGCTACAGTCTGCTATAAGGGTCGTGGATTGGTCAAAATCAGACACGTGACCTAAGGCAGCCAATCATATTACAGCAATGGATACCGCCCTCGTGAAACGAAAACTTTTAGATTTAGACGAAAGTTTTGGGTAAAATAATGCTATTCTGAACATATTAAGCAAGAAATCGCTACATATAACGTGAAATTATTGGACTTATTGGACGATCGTGCTAGGTTTTGACCTGTGACAAAAATGCTTCATGCATATATTTTCGCATTAAACATCGCGGTCCGAAGCTGAAGATTGAGGCGCGTAGAGCCGAGATGTCACTTGTCAGTGATTTGACTTGCATTACATGATCGCACAAAAGATGGAAAAAGTAATTTTATATGTACGTTTGACAACTTTTATGAATGCAGTTGTTGATTTTATTCATTAGTTTATTCTATTTATTTAATCATTTCCTCGAAACATCGTTACTTTGCTCTTTGACAATGTTATTGTGGACCCGCCTCAAGCATGTGTCCGAGAATCGTTGTTTTCAATTACATTGCGAAAAATAGTTTATAATTTTAATTCTACCGATAATATATGATCAATTGAAATTTAATAAGTGTTTCCAGACATTGTGAAATGTGATGGATTTAATATATGAATCATAAGTCAGGTAAGTTCCTAAAATTATGTCTCATTTTGACGTGACTACTGCCTGGCCGCTTAAGCGGCCTCCGGTGTCTGGGGACTCATAACGTTGTGGCCGCTTAAGCGGCCTGCGGTGTTGAAAGGGTTAAGTGATCTTCATGGTGAATTATATTTGCATGATGTTAAATGATTTTTTATGTGAACTGTATTTCCAGACAAACGAAGTTAATCAAGGTGACTCTCTGGAATACAACTTTGACTCCTTGTATGCAGCCTTGCTGTTTCCTGTCAAAAACAACCTGAGCACCCGACTCAATCAGGTAAGCATTTAATTTCATCCAGTCATCTGAGTTGGAGTTTTGTTAAAGTTCAGGCAAATAACTTTAATATAACCCGATGTATGTAAGTCCTGAATGAAGAAACAAAAATTAAGAAAGTGCACATATTTTTATCCCCTGCAAAGCGTTTTGCGGGGGGTATTAAAATGGACTCAGTCCGTCCGTCCGTCCGTGCACATTTGTCTTTTCCGGAGCATAACTCTAGAACCCTTCAATGTTTCTTCACCAAACTTGGCACATAGATAGATCTGGTGGTGAACTGGTGCCTTTGGTAGTTTGGGATTTCTGAATAAAATATTTTTGGCGTTTCCATGGCAACAAGTTTGACTTAGACTGAGATTGGTGGTTGCGCTCTTTTCCGGATCATAACTCTAGAACTGTTCAATGTTTCTTCACCAAACTTGGCACATAGATAGATCTGGTGGTGTACTGGTGCCTTTTGGTAGTTTTGGAATTCTGAATAAAATATTTTTGGTGTTTCCATTGCAACAAGTTTGACTAAAACTGAAATTTGTGGTAGTGCTCTTTTCCGGAGCAGAACTCTAAAACCGTTCACTATTTCATCACCAAACTTGACACATAGATAGATCTGGTGGTGTACTGGTGCCTTTTGGTAGTTTGGAATTCTGAATAAAATATTTTTGGCGTTTCCATGGCAACAAGTTCTACTATTTTTCCTTATCCTGACTCATGCTCTTTTGCTTGTCTTCTTCTTCTTGCGAACATAGTGGAACACTTGTATCTCCTTATTTGAAGCTCCCTTCAAAATAAAATCACTAATTGGTACTCACCACGAGTTGCTCCCCTTTGTCTCCCCTGGCGGGAAAGGTGTCGCCACCCTCTGGCCATGTGCTTCACTCTCTCCTTCTTCGCCCAGTGAGCAGGATGTGAGAGCGCCTTGTGTCTCCTTACACACCATATCCTTTGATAATCTCTTAGTTTTTACCTCTCATAGGTTACTATAGAGGTATAGCTAGTATCCTTTACTATTTGTATTGATTAATTATCGTATTTCTACTGTTTATTCACGTGTATTCGTGATTGTTCAGCTAGCTTTACGTTGATGAAAATCTGTACGATTTGTAGATTACGTTTTTCTGCCTCCGATCCACATGTAATATGCCCTAGTTGTTCTACGCCGTGTGCGTTTAATTCACGTTGCAGTTACTGCATTAATTTATCTCATTCTGCATTTAATAAATATCATCTTTGCGTCTTAAGACGTGCTGCAGATAGATCACGCAAACAAGGGCAAAACATGGCAGAGAGTCCAGATATTCCATCCAGTCAGCTGCTAGCGATCGACCCTCTCCCGTCTGGTGTTCTGCTAGAGACCCCTGCGGTAGAGGAACGTGGGACGCAGTCCGTTACCTCGAAGAAACGACCGGCCTCCCCAGACATCCCGTCATTGCAGACCAAGTCTAAGAGGGCCTCATCGTCGTCTCAACGCAGATTGAGGACACCCAGGGCAGCGCAGACTTCCAAAGGGAAATCTACGAAGACAGCAAGAACTTTCTCAGCCGAGATCGTTCCAGCAGCAGAATTGGGCCTCTACGATGATCAGCCGATAATCATCCCCGACTTACGGCAGAAGAAGCGACCGGTGTCAGCGACTGTGACTTCTGCAGAGATCACCATGCAGCCTGATGCCTCTACACCGACGTCAGACGTCATTGATGTGAACCCCATCGCAGAAAAGACGCCGACGACTTCGTCACAGATCATCCCAGAAGACATGATGCGGCAGATTATGAACATCATGGAGGACCACTACAAACTGCGCAAGCAGGGTCCGAGCCTTAGCGAAGGCTCCAACGTAGACAGCACCCCAGAGGCACCCCCCGTCAACGTAGCAGCCAAGACGATGTCACCTTCGCGAAGGAAGTCCCGCACCACCTTGACGAAGGACCTAGATGTACAGCCTTCGCGAAGGCCTTCGCGGCGGGAGAGATCATCACCATCTTCGATTTCATCTCTAGATATGGACTCAGACCATCAGACATCACGGAGGCCTTCGCGAAGGTCATATCATCGATCCCCCGGACCGGACGCAAATGAAGCTTCGCGAAGGCATTCGCGAAGGACATATGATTCCAGATCCTCATCATCTAGAAGAACATCGAGGGACTGCCGAAGAGCTTCGCGAAGCTATCAACATTCACCTCACAAGTCTCCGAGAAGATCATCCCATAGACGATCTCCACTTCGTTCATCACCAGGTCGATCACCCGTCAGATCTCCACATAGAGCGGCGCACAAGTCAACTAGATCGCCACAAACCTCATCAGATATACAGACAGCTACACGCAGTCCCGAAGAGCATCTACAATTTGTTAATGATGATGGTTTTGAGGATGATGGAGGAATCATATTTTCTGATGCAGAGATACGGTATTGGATGGTCAATAACCTAGATCTCACATCACCATCTAAAAGTGGCAATACAGCGCAGACGTATTTGATGAAGGAAGATGATCCAGATGCAATCACTCTACCCCCGATCGACCCGATTGCGGCAGTGCCACAGAATCTAGATGCAGCTTTCCAGAAAGCTACGAAAGTTCAGATACCACATCTGCCCAACTTTCAAGCCAAGAAGTTCTCCACGCATAACATGGACTCCTTCTACAAGGCCCAGGACATCGATGAGAACTATAAGATCATCAGCGATGTAAAGAACAAGATTTACAAGATGGATGATCGCAAGTTGGCTCATATAGAAACCATGACGAGACGTATGTTCTTTGGGTTAAATAGATCTAGGACGATCAATGAGACTCTTATTACTAGATTCCGGGATTCCACGACGGAAGATGATAGAATGATTTATTCTGCCTTACTTATGCAAAAGAAAGATCAGCAGTTTTTAACGGATCATCTTACATCTGTTTCAGCAGCACTGACCTTAGCTCGTCGTCAAGGCCTCCTCGCCTCCTGTAATTGGGGGGAGAACTTTACAGCCCCACTTTATACAGCCCCGTGGTCGACAACATCCATCTTTGACGGAGAAATCGACAAAGTCGCCAAGGAAGTCTCTAAGGATTCCAGGGAAGTCCTTATGATTAGATCGATGGACACACTAGCCAGCGTCATTCGTCAGACTTCACAAAGATACTCAGGCAGATCTAAGTTCACGGGCCTACAAAGAGCAAGAGACAGGAAGATAGCCAGCTCTAGAGGTAAAGATTCTTTTCGTCGCCCATATGGCAACTATAGAGGAGGATCAGGAAGAGGCAGGACACCCAGAGGTTCCCGCAATTATAGACGCTGAAACACAGGTTCGGAACGACTGGAGTCTTCCACCCCCCAGCCGTTCCAGTACAGCCAGCTCAAGTGGGTGGACGCCTCCAACTACACTGGGAAAACTGGGGAATATTGCAAGACCCTTACGTCTCCAACATTCTTCAACACGGATTTCGTATCCCTCTACAGGCCAAGCCTCCGCTGACAATCAAACCCCCCAAGTTCGATTTACAAGCGCAACAACTACCAAAGATAAGAGAGGCTGTTTCATCACTCCTATCCAAACAGGCCATAGAAGTAATAGATCAAGCAAACGTCGAACCAGGTTTCTACTCCCCAGTTTTCCTAGTTCCCAAGAAAAACTCCACGGAGAAATACAGACTCATCTACAACATGAGCTTTTTCAACAAGAACTATCTACGCAAACCACCGAAGTTTCGCATGATACATTTACCTCAGTTACGCCAGATGATTCGTCCTATGGACTACATGGGCAGCATAGATCTACAGGATGCCTACCTGCACATCCCCATTCATCCCGATTCCAGGAAATACCTACGATTTACTCTAGAAGGGCTACATTACCAGTGGAAAGTACTCCCATTCGGAATATCATCAGCCCCCCTGGCTATTCACGAGGATAACGAAACCGATTATCAAATTTCTACATCGTCAAGGGCTACGCAGTGCGTTTTACCTCGACGACGGGATACAAGTAGATCAAGATCCACTGCGTCTCAAACTACAGTTAAATTACATCATAAAGCTACTAACACAACTAGGTTGGTTAGTAAACTTACGCAAGTCGGACCTAGTACCATCGCAAGACCTGCAGTTCCTAGGTATTCGATTCATCACAAATCGCAACCGTATTATGGTACCAGAAGACCGTTGGCTCAAGATACAGCAGACCATTCCACCAGCTCTACTCTCTCCGTTACCACTGCGACAATGGCAGAGCCTACTAGGTCTTCTCACATCAGCCCAAGACATGACTGTCACAGGCAGATTACAGTTACGTCCCCTACAGGTCCTCATCAACGCACATCTCAACGATGTACAACCATTCAGTCTACCGAAACATCTCAGACCGCATCTACTATGGTGGACCAAGAAATCGAATGTCTGCGAAGGGATTTGTTTAGCAGAGCAGGAATACAAAACCCATCTGTATGTAGACGCGTCACTCCAAGGTTGGGGAGCTCATCTCACCAACCACACGATATCAGGGTTATGGAATCAGCAAGAATGCAAACTCCATATAAACAGTCTAGAAATGAAAGCTGTAATCAACGCCATTCTACATTGGAGCACATTTCTACAAAATGCGCGCCTAATGATCCATACAGACAATTCGACAGTGGCGTTCTACATAAACAAGCAAGGCTCAACGAGATCGATGAACCTTTTGAACCTAAGCTTTCAACTGTTCGATTTAATACAAGATCTAAATCTACATGTCAGAGCAGTGCACATTCCCGGAGCCAGAAATATACTAGCAGACGCTCTCTCTCGGCCTCATCTACCATCACCGACAGAGTGGATGATCAACAGGAAATTTTGCACAGATAATCAAGCAATTAGGAGCGCCGCTAATAGACCTATTCGCCACGCGATTCAACAATCAGCTACCGACATTCGTGTCACCAGTCCCAGACCCCCAAGCTTGGGCAACGGACGCTCTAAGTCTATCATGGGAAGGCCTCAATGCGTACGCGTTTCCGCCGCCAGCAATAATACCTCAAGTATTACAGAAAATCAGACAAACACAGAGCCTACAACTCACTTTGGTCGCGCCCTACTGGCCGGCCAGAACGTGGTGGTTCCCATACTAATTCAAGAAATCGGTCAACCAACACTGGAGCTACCCAAGCGCGCAAACCTGTTAATTCATCCTCACACCAAACAAGTGCACGGAAACCCAGCAATGTTCCAACTACACGTATGGACTGTATACAAATGTGTTTAAACAAGAGAGGATATTCTGCCAGGGCGGCAAAAGCAGTCACGCTTGCCTTACGTTACTCAACTCGTAACTTGTACGACGACAAGTGGCACAGTTTCGAAAATTATGCAACAAAGAAAGGGTTTACAGCAAGAGAGGCTTCACAACCTCAAGTGGCAGACTATTTGTGTTACCTACGCCAAAACAAACATTTAAAAGGTTCAACGATATCAACATATCTTGCCGCGCTTAGTTCTGTAATCACCATGAGAACGGGTGTCAAATTGACAAGATCTCCAGAGTTACTGGCCTTACTACGAGCTTTCCGATTGGAGGACCAAAAGCGGAAGTTCCACGCCCCAGCTTGGGATCTGAATGTAGTGTTACAACACCTCACGAGTGAGGTCTATGAACCTTTGGAATCGACAAACTTTGAATTTCTCTCACAGAAAACACTGTTTCTGCTATCGCTAGCCACAGCAGCAAGAATGTCTGAAATTCACGCTCTGGATTACGAGAGGATACAGTTTGATGACAATCATAACACAGCGCACCTCGGATTAAGATGGGATTTCATCGCAAAAAATCAACTGCCAGGTCAACCAGACAGATTATTCCACATCCCGGCGCTATCCTCTATTCTCGGATCACAAGATACACAAGACCTATCACTGTGTCCGGTAAGAGCGCTCAAAGTTTATTTACGACGATCCAAAACAAGGAGAAGATTTCTCAAACGTTTATTCATCCCCTTATCGCCTACGAATCAAACAGAAGTGTCACGGACCACAATATCTATTTGGATAAGGACTGTCATTCTCCGTGCCTACAAGGCAGCAGGCTTGGACCCACCAACAGCATCAAATCCACATGAGATCAGGGCACTGGCCTCTACCCTCGCCCTACACGGTAACTGTTCCTTGAACACGATTATGGAAGGATGCTATTGGAAATCTAACATGGTATTTGCTAATCACTACCTGAGAGACATCACTACAGAAGATGTCTCTGGCATTCACCATTTCGGACCACTGGTCCTCGCTCAGCAACTGACAGTCCCTCGTAGGCGTTAAAATATTATCCTCACAAGATTAATATGTATTTTATACATACTCATCTAGCTTATAACTCTACGGAGTTTTAGGGCTATGTATATATGTTCAGCTTAAGTATTCAACCTTAAGCATATACTTTGGTATAGTCAATTTCAGTGCCTCTATCAGAGTCACCTATATATATATATATAATTTATATGTATTGTTCAATATATTCATAATGTAATTCCCCTTTAATGGCTTTATATAACCTATGGTTTTCTTTATACAGGAAACATCCTAAATCTAAGCCTTCATGAAGTTCCCGTAGGGGATATTACAGTATATCTATACAAAATCACTAATTATAAATCCAAAGTATTCTGTTACCCACCTCCGTTCCGTAGGATGCTACAAGCAAAAGAGCATGAGTCAGGATAAGGAAAAATATGTAATTTTTAGAGTAAAATTGATATTTTATACTTATCCTGACTCATGAGGTTAGCTCCTCCATCCTCCCCACATAACACTTTGGATTTCCCTGTAAATTCAAGTGTTGGGCTCGCTAAATCAGGAGAGAGTGGAGCACATGGCCAGAGGGTGGCGACACCTTTCCCGCCAGGGGAGACAAAGGGGAGCAACTCGTGGTGAGTACCAATTAGTGATTTTATTTTGAAGGGAGCTTCAAATAAGGAGATACAAGTGTTCCACTATGTTCGCAAGAAGAAGAAGACAAGCAAAAGAGCATGAGTCAGGATAAGTATAAAATATCAATTTTACTCTAAAATTACATTTTGGTGGTGTACTGGTGCCTTTTGGTAGTTTTGGAATTCTGAATAAAATATTTTTGGTGTTTCCATGGCAACAAGTTTGACTAAAACTGAAATTAGTGGTAGTGCTCTTTTCCGGAGCAGAACTCTAAAACCGTTCACTATTTCATCACCAAACTTGACACATAGATAGATCTGGTGGTGTACTGGTGCCTTTTGGTAGTTTTGGAATTCTGAATAAAATATTTTTGGCGTTTCCATGGCAACAAGTTCGACTTTGACTGAAATTGGTGGTAGTGCTCTTTTCCGGAGCAGAACTCTAAAACCGTTCAATATTTCTTCATCAAACTTGGCACATAGATCTGGTGGTAGATCTGGTGGTGTACTGGTGCCAAGTTTGACTTTTGGTAATTTCCGGAGGAATTCTGAATAAAATGGCACCAGATTTTGGTGTTTCCATGGCAACAAGTTTGACTTAGACTGAAATTGGTGGATAGTGCTCCTTTCTTGGAGCAGAACTTGAATAAAAACCTGTCAATACTCTCCTTCCACTTTTCTATATACACACCTAAATATTTGACATAATCATAACTCGTAGACATAATCATGAAGAGTATTTTGCCATTGCGGGGGATATTGATGACTTTGTCTTCTTGTTAGAAATGTCCTGATTTTCCTGTGTGCTCCCCAGCCGATCTGTAAGTCGTTGCTGAAGACGTGGGGAGAACTGTACCGGAGTTTCACTCGTCTCTCGGCCCTTGTCACAACAGCCGAGGCCAACATTGCATGCGAAGAATTTTGCCAAAAAGTCCTCCATTGTCTGGAAGAGGAATCCTCAAAGGTAAGAAAGACCGAACGTTTGTTTTACTGTTAAAATTCCCAGCAGGACAACTCGAATAGTCGTGGTTGTAAGTGGAAGTTTGGTGGTCGCACGTAATTCCTTGTATTGTTTTCCGGCTCCTGTTATATTGTGTTGTTACAGACATAGTCAGAGCTCCAGATAAGATTTAGCTCATGTGGGTACTGTACCCATTGAATATTTTTGGAGTGGGTATTATGAATGTTGAGTGGGTATTTCATTTTCCGTTACCCACTGCTTTCAAATATGTGGGTATTTCAGTGATTTTACTCACCTAAGTATATGTCCTTGAGTATGTTTACTAAGCAGGTATGTACTGCCTTATGCCATACCTAATCAAAGCCAACTTAATTAGAATGGAAATGAGTTCATAAAAATTCACTCATCCTAAGACAGTACAACACTAGTCCTATACTTGATAGCAATCAATGTATTTTTCATTACGCAAGCGTTTTTTATAAATATACTGAACAACAAAAGTATTGCAAATTTTTGGAAATTGTATTTCATTTTCAACAAGTAACACTTGATGCTATAATTCATTACGCATAGAAATAGAGTGACCATTTGACCGCACAATGGAAGTGTCAAAAGACGCGTTCAATCCAGGACGTCAAGCTGACGTTACACATTGTAGGGTAGGGGTAACACGTTCCAAATGACAAAAACGCCTACAACCGGACGTCGGGCACGTAGGCCTGCTGCATGGAGACGCCTACGGACTGTCTGGGGGTGAAAATTTGTATCCGTAGCTTGCCGCAGCTCGTTGGCCAGACGTGGGGCGCTTGTTAACCTGTGTCGTCCTGATGACGTCACTATGTGGCGGTCTTCCTGTGGGGTGGTAGAACGAGGCCTTCCTGGCCTTGGTCGGTCTCTAACTTGGCCAGTTTGTTGGACCCGTTGCCGCAAACGAATAATTGTGCTGTAATGCACTTGGAAGTGCCTGGTGACGTCTCTTACTTGCTGGCCAGCACGTAGTCGTCCGAGGGCTTCATTGCATTGATTTTCTGGCATTCCAGGCCGGCGACTCATGCTTCAAACTGAACAATTCTTTGCGGTTTCAGTATACTGATACTCCAGTGTGTCATGTCAACCCTGTTATAGACCCCAGTTTGCATGATTTTTCTGCCGATGGGCATAAACACGTTATGCACATACACCATCATGGTTTTTACAACATTCCAACAATCGAGTAAAGTGTGTCATCATGTGTTCACGTTTGGGCCAAATTTCATTATTTTGTCTCGTATCATTCTTTTGATATTAATTGTAACAAAAATGTGCTAAACTTTTGTTGTTCAGTATATATTCCGTACGCATTTGTTTTAAACTTTTTGCGTATCTAACATTGTAAATGCGTAATTGGTACGCAACAATTATTTTTCAATGCGTAATTGGACATTTTCTGTGCGTAATTACCCAGATACGCAGCTTATCTGGGCCTCTGAGAGTTCTGTTGTTGTTCTATGGTAATTTGTGTGTCGAGTCCGTACAGTTCAAGACAATTTGTGGCCACTTTTATTTTGGAAATCAGTTGCTGTATTGGATTTTTTGAATGATTGTCTTTTCTCACACCCATGGGAAACTTGCCGTATATTTTGTGATATAATTTAGAATGATTCTATGGTCATTACTTGTAAATGCTTTGAGTGATAGTGCCAAATTGGTCTGAATCCTTACATGGGTAATAAATGAGAACGCAGTTTGTGATACCCACGCTCAGATGCTGCTGGAATAAACAATAAAAATGACCTAAAACTTCCTTCACTCTTGTAAGTTAAACTGATCCACTAAACCAGTTTTAACCTGATCCACTAAACCAGTTTTAACCTAAACACTGCTTGTTTCTACCAGGAGAGTGCAGTTGTGGAGTTTGTGGCTCAGATGTGTCAGGTTGTGGTAGACAATGTCGACTTCTCGTCTCTTGGTAGCAACAATGGGTTTGCACATGGAGGTAAGACCAAGTTTATGTTACGTGTTGATTTCTGTGACAACAATGTTTCCGTGACTACTGACAGATGGTATGTTTTTCCACCAGTAAATATTGTTTTCAAGTAGATGTCACCCCAGTTCTTTTGTTCTCTAACATTCTGGGAAGGTGTGGTTCCAGATCATGAAACATCTCGCGCTGTAACACACATTTTTTTTATTACTTGGAAATTTATGTCATTTTTTTTAATGATCTCCAAGCTTCTCTGAGTCCGTCCAAGTGGATCAAGCGGAAAAACAAACCGATGGAGAATCTACAGTCCTTCATCAAGCTCTTGGTCCACCTGCTTGAGGATCTCGCAGAGTTGACAGAGTCAGGAGAGCCTACTCTTACTGCCAAGCAGGTATATGTCATAATTACCTTCTAGAGTCTGACAGCAAAACATGATTTCTTCTCTTTCCGAATATGATTAATAATTTAGAGTTTTCAAAAATTAGGTCAGACGTGAGGTGATGATGATGATGATGATGATGATGATGATGATGATGATGATGATGATGATGATAGGATATTTATATAGCGCACATATCCACACACCTAGTACATGCTCAAGGCGTTTGAGTGTTCCCTTGATCAACGGATGTGTTTTTTCTGGCATTCTTTTAACCAACTCAACTCCCTGGGGAGTATTCAATTGGTGGCATATTGCTGAGTGCCGCATAAAGCTAAACTCACTCACTCCACGTTTATTAGGATACCTAGTGGGGTTACTTGAGAGGGGTACCGTGATGGTGGATTAGCCTAGTGGTTAACCCGGGTGGATGCCCTCGCATGGTCCTGGATCTACATCACGTGACAGGCTTCGATAAAATTACACAGAAATGTAGAATATTAAATTTCCTATCCGTTGGTATAAATATAAGTGCAATTACCTAGGTGGTTTGAGAAATAGACCTTGCTGAATTTGTCCACATTTCCTATTGTTGGTATAAATATAAAAACAGTAAATGTGGTTGCTCCAAATTTATTGTTACATCAATAAAAGCACTGTGCTTCATTTTTTAATTTGACATCTTTACGGAAAGTGTGAGCGAGGAAAATACAGCCTGATATCTAAACGACATAAGTGTATATGAATTGGGTTTATGTGCTTATGCAGAACGTTATACGCTCAACATTAAAAAATATGTCAAAACTAGATTTTCTTCTATGACGTCAAACGACGACAGAGAGGTCATACACGTATAATGATAAGGGGGCATAACTCCGTTATGCTTAACACTAGGTCAGTGTAACTCAGATCACATGGAGAGAATTTGTTGTGGATACGGACACTGTATTTTCGGTATTTTGTGTTCTCAGTGAACCAAACTATTCCAGTTCAAAGTTCCCCAATGCGAGCGGATATGCTTTGGTAGTTTCACAATTTATAAGAAAAGATGGCAACGTACTACATGTGAAATCACGTAGTAGCGATTTGGATGGCCCTATCTGATATATAAGTTAGTTCTTAGATTCCCATTTTCTCCTGTTTGTTTAGATGTATTTTGACTAATTTTGCTTCGTTATTACCAGAGTACTAGCCATATCTTCAAATGTAATGAAATTGCTGAAAATAATACAACATTATTTTGCGACGTCAGCAAAAAGACAACATTGGGATGCTGATTAGTATATATCTCACCTAATTTCCATTAATTGTATGAAAGGTCTCGGCCTCGATGTCAGAATTTAACACTCTTTAGACAAAACAAAAAATGAATGATTTTTCCATTTAAATAGTGTCCTGAATATGTATTGACGGTATGACTGTGTATCTTATTGTGAGCAACACACGCACCTGTTTGGCATCAATTTAACGTAAATGAAAAGTAATATTTCACAACACCCAAATATTTTGTTTAGGATAAGAATTTTCTTTGTTTATGATTATGTAGCTATTTCTCTTCATAAGTATGCAATGGAAGATGCAAAAAGATAGCTTTTATATATGGAGCTATATATTAGAATATAGATGTAAAATTTGTCCAAAACATGAAATGGTATATATATTTTAAAAAAAAAATTCATATAAATATAGTTAGAGTTTGAAATCCTATCATCACAATATGTTTAATCGAATATGAATTGATTATTTTATCGAAAACATTGATAAAGAATCACAAAATGTTTCCGAACAACGCCAACCTGGCCAATCAATTTACATTATTGTTTTCTGTTTAAAACGACACAAAAATATGCAACGAACAAGACAATACCTTAAAATTGTGTGCATATACATTTCCTAATATATATAAATCATTTCATTAAATATTATCAGTGTTACTTATAAGGTTGAATTAAATCGCGTTCATTTACCTGTTCATGTGAAACTGCAATACTAGTCCAAATGCATTGAATATTGTACATCATAGGAACTAAAGTAGTTGCAGTTATGGCTACGTTTGATCTTCTAACACTTGTGTAAAGGTTTAGAATAGAATGTACTGCACTAAATGTGTCAATTTCTTATGTAAATATTATTCAAATATTCAAACAATCAAAAACTTTCAAAGAATAAAACACTGTAAACCCTATATGCACGTATGATATGATATTGAACAAGGCTAAATGTAGATACTGAAGTCAGTTTCATGAAAAAATATCTGAACTACACACAAAATATACCCCATAATACTGACAGTGTAATCGGGAGGATTGAACGATTGTGTTTACTCTTGTTCAACTGACCTTCACCTCAAAGAAATTGCCTAATATGTACAACAATGTTGACGTAAGACATCACTACCGCTGACCTATTTCTTAAGGATACACAGGATTTTGCGAGGACCCTTCCATTCATTCAGGGATCGTTTGTAAATAAAAATGAAATGTAAGTAATCAGAATGATTCTGACTAGCTGTGTATAGTTATATGTTTTTAAGAAGTATGAGAAGAAGACAAAAATGCTGATAATTACAGTTGTCGTTCTGCGTGATTTTGTGTCATATTGCATTGTATCTATTTATAATTTCCTATTTCTGGCTACGATATTCTTTCCATGCATATTCCAAAGGTATTGAGCCATTCCAAGCAATGTATAGATGGATGAATGTTGGAAAATTTCAGAAAATGCTACGCAGTGTAAAATCGAAATTTGTCATTGTTTACATTTCAAACAAGCGCAGTCTTTCGAGCACAGCGTTTGTTTTCACACCCATTATGTTTCATCTCTTTTTATCTAGACAGTTGGTATTGGTGACAAAGACAATTTGTAATTTGATTCTAACATGTATGGGGAATTCAGATATGCATTTTTCGAAGCTGAATATGAAATATATGTGATGTAATAGGCGTCTCAATACCGGCTATCGCGAAACGGGATTTTGTAAACACTATCCAATATGGCAGAAAGCACTCTTTACTGCGTTCATGTAAGTGTATTTTCGAAAACATCCCAACCGATTCTAGATTCATCGGCAACGTTTCAGAATTATGATTAGTGATTTCATGTAAAAGTGATATCAGTGATCATGAATATGTTATTTTTGTAAATTCAGTATTTCCAGTAATTTTCCGATTTTCACATTTCAAAACATACAGCAAATAACGCTGTGAATCGCAATTTCGTACTGTGTAAAATATGGCAACATTTTCGATGAAACCTATTTTGAAAGGTCATTTTCAGCACTTGAGCTTTGTCTAAAATAATAGTGGATGGTATCAAGCAACAGGAGATTTCCTGCTGAATTCGAAACTGTGAAGTGTATTTGTGTGCGTGGGACATTTTGATTTTCATTGGACTTCAACGTGAGGGTTGAAGGGGAAGGACATGTATGTCCCTGTGGCACCCAGGGGGTTAAAGCCTTCGCTCATCAAGCCGAAGACCCGGGTTCGATTCCCCACATGGGAACAGTGTGTGAAGCCCATTTCTGGTGTCCCCCTGCCGTGATATTGCTGGAATATTGTTAAAAGCGGCTTAAAACTGAACTCACTCACTCAACTCACTACTTGAGAGGGAACGGGTGCTGAATACTTTAAACTGACAGCCCTTGTCTGAACTCATTTTTCTCTGAATCTTGAATAGTTTTTCATGCAGAAACTGTTGTTGCAGAAACCGGCAAATGTGACGGCAGGAGCTACATTACTTGTGGACGTGTTGTCAACGTTGTTCACGCACATCACCGTGTCGACCATCATTGCGAGGATGCTCGGACAACTGGCCACACCCATTTCCTGGTTCTTCTCAGGGTCTGGCAGGAAGACGTGCAGCAAGCTGTTTAATGCAGCATTCATGCAGAAGGTAGGAAGAATAGTAGAAGAGCTCTATTTGTTATAATTTGTTCTCCACAAAACTGAGTGAGTGAGTGAGTTGAGTTTTACGCCGCACTCAGCAATATTCCAGCTATATGGCAGCGGTCTGTAAATAATCGAGGCTGGACCAGACAATCCAGTGATCAACAGCATGAGCATCGATCTGCGCAATTGGGAACCGATGACATGTGTCAACCAAGTCAGCGAGCCTGACCACCCGATCCCGTTAGTCGCCTTTTACGACAAGCATAGTCGCCTTTTATAGCAAGCATGGGTTGCTGAAGGGCTATTCTAATAGACCCGGACCTTCATGGGTCTCCACAAAACTGACAAAACGTTCAACCATAAGATAATACTTTTCCCTCACAGATAAGATACTGAAAATTGTGTCTGTGTTATGCTTCCCACTTTCCAGTTTTGTTTTGTTGTTTTTGGGAGGTGGGAATGACAAATGTCTTGAATAAGAATCTTTTACTGTGTGTGTGATATATAACTGCTTCTGATATCGGGAATTTTGTCAACTTCACAGTCATGTTTCTGCTCAGCATGCTGACTTGTATTTTCAATACTGGTCACAAAACATTGTTGAAACAGAAGTCATGAACTGATACTCAGCCGTTTCAAACCTGTTGCAGAAGCACCTGTTTTTAACCAAAATCAGAATATTTTGAAAGATGCGACAGATCATCTTTGAAGAAAGGAAAAAATTCACACAATTTTCAAACTGAATTAGGCTCTTTCTTCTTGGTGATTTTGTCGTGTTGTGTTTGTTTGAAGAGACTCAGTTTGTTTAACGGAGTTACCTCCCTTTTCAAGCCAGGATTCGATAATCATTGGCCCAGAAACTACATTAGCCCTTATATTGATCTTTGGTTGGTCAGTATCATACACATGTTTTTCACTGAAGTAGGTGATATCTGAGAGTCTAACCTGCCCTGATGTTTGTTTGTGGTTAACGTAGTTCACTGGCTTCTGTTTCAGTTGGAGAAGCTGTGGCTGGATATCTCGACCTGCATCCAGAGTCGGTACACGATGCAGTATGACACAGAGTTCCTGACGTGCGTGTCGCCGCTGCTGCAGGAGACGTTGCTGCACCCTCGCCGACAGATTAAGAACCAGTCCCTCATCCTGTGGAAGGCCACCTTCAGTCATGTTGCAGGGATTGGGATGAGAGAACCATTTTTAGCCATCTACCCAGAAGATCTCAAGTGAGTGGTCGGGGCTGTGGGTTAGTCTAGTGGTTAAAGCGTTAAGGGACAGTAAGGGGTATTTAGGTCTTCAGCATAGAGCCCATCAGATGGGACAGCTGTCAAGTCACTAGGGAACATGCCACTACTGGCAAACAAGGACAAGTTGAGAACCGACCCAACAATTGACCCGTATTAGCATGTATGAGTGCCGCCAAATGTGCTTGCCATTGTTAGAGAAGGGACCCATGGTTGTCCGTGATCATGTGTAGTGCAACTTTCTACACTGACGTGAGAGTCTTTTGAGCAAGGCGTGTGCAGCAAGTTTGTCCTGTCCAGACTACAGTCACGTAGCTGGAATGATTTTTATAGTTTCATGTAATTTTCCTTATCCTGACTCATGATTATTTGCTTTCTCATCCTCTCTTCTGAACGGTTAAGTGGAAACTTGAATCCTTTCAATTCCCTTGAAGCGAACATACAATCACTCACCCTCACTTACCTCCCTTTGTTTCCCGCCAAAACTGGCACGTGACCTCGCCATGCTTTGGTCCTCCCTCTCCCCTCTATATTTAATTGTTCACTGATGTGTGCTGCAGACCTGTGTTGATGAAGGTGAAGGAGAAGACTCCCATCATGCTGCCAGGGTGGGTGCAGACGGACACCAACGTCATCGAGGAGACGCCCTTCAGCCAGTACAGTCAGGTAGTTCACTAGAGTTGTCCCCCCTTGAGATCGGGGTATAATTTGTCTCCACAACGCATGCTTGTCATAAGATGAATACCGTATATGACTGTCTATAAGATGACCCCATGGATAAGACGACCCCCAAACTTGACCCTTAAAATCAGTGTCAAAATGGTATGTTTCGTGCATAAATCGATCCCCCGTGATGGGGTCCCAATCGCGGCAAACACAGACAACTGGCAGCTACCAATGGTTATAACTTTGGTCCACATTATTCAAAGAATTCACAATCATATATATTGTGTCTACTCACGGATCGAAACGAAGTGTAGTTGACAGAAAATGCATAATATATTTTGCTTCTCTAAATATAATTTTTATTGTAACAACAAACTGGCTTGCTTATTTTACCTCATTCAACAATCACGAACTGATTACCGCCTCGTTTTCCATTGACTGCTAGTTTACAGTAACATCGGTAAAAATGTGTGGATTTAAATGGCTTCCATATTTTACCCCATTCCATGTGCATACAACTTCTGCTTACCACGTTCATGAGGGTCCGTATAACCTTAGTGTTGATTACATATATTTTACATAAAAACTGTAACTAAAATTACAGGATATATTTTCTTTGGGTTAGATAATAGTATTCTGTATTATATTTTACTAATGACTATGTCAGAATTCATCCTGTTATATTATCTGTGCATGTTTGAACTTGATCGCCGGGGAAAGTCGTCTTCTGTTGTTTGTTCATTTTAAGTGATACAATGTTGTTTTCTTACCCCCTGGAAAAAAGTTTGACGAAAGCGTAACCCATGGATAAAACGACCCCCTTCTACAGACTGCTTTTTTGGTCCTTAAAATTCAGCTTATAGTAGGTCATATACTGTACCGATGGATTGGTTGATACATATCATTGTATTCTGTTGATATTACTGGTTAATCATGTTGATAAATTCACCAAGTGTCATCAATGCAGTTATGTTGAATATATTGTGAAAATCACCAGTAGTTTTGGCGAGTGGTTGATTTTTCATGCTGGTTTTGGTTGCCATTGTTATCCCCCCAGGATGTAAAGAGGGGGGATATAGTCGACACCTCGTCTGTCTGTCCTTCTGCAATCATTTTGTTTCCGGACATAACTCAAAAACTGTTCAATATTTTTCAACAAAAATTGGTATATATATCAAACAGAATCTCAAGTGGTGCTTTTTGCTATTTACAGATTTTTGTCATTTATTTTTTTCTCGGTTTCCCTGCAAACGATTCGGACTTAGTCACATAAAAGAGGGGTGGGCTTCGTTTCCGTAGAATAACTTTAAAAAATCGTTCAATACTTTCAACAGAACTTGAAAAGTACATGAGACAGATCCCAAAGTGGTGCCTTTTGCTATTTACAAATTTTTGGTATTTTCACTTTTCCTGATTTCAATGGAAATGATTTGGACTTATTCAAATTTAGTCACAGAGGAAAAAAATATCAAGTTGGACTTGGCAGATTTAACCCATTCAATTTTCACTTTTCCTGATTTCCCGCCGCATTCGGATTTAGTCGATAAAAAATTTGCATTCAACACCGCAGGGCCGCTTAAGCCACAACGCTATGAGTCCCCAGACACCGAGGCCGCTTAAAAGCGCCGCCAGGCAGCAGTCACGCCAAAATCAGACATAATTTTAGGAACCTACCTGACTTATGATTCATATATTAAATCTATCACATTTCACAATGTCTGAAAACACTTATTAAATTTCAATTTATCATATATTATCAGCAGAATTAAAATTATAAACTATTTTTCGCAATGTAATTGAAAACAACGATTCTCGGACACATGCTTCGGCAGTGGGTCCACAATAACATTGTCAAAGAGCAAAGTAACGATGTTTCGAGGAATTCATTAAATAAATTGAATAAACTAATGAATAAAATCAACAACAACATTCATAAAAGTTGTCAAACGTACATATAAAATTATTATTTTTAACTTACCTTACCATAGGTCTTATGCATATTACCTCAAGCTCCGCTTAAAGAGATCAGACAGTCGTTGATTCGCCATTCTGTAGAACGCCACCTCGCGGTATCGACGAAAGTGTACAGGCAACGGAAGTGACGTTGATCTCCTCGCCAGCTAAAGCCGTCCATCCAAAATCACTTTTACTCAAGCCGCCTTGCTGGTCAGACGCTTTTGGTTCGCTAAGTTTTCAGACACTTACTAATAGATTTCAGATATTAAAGTTATTGGTATGTATGTTTTTCTATCTTATGTCTCTTCTCTGTGGGTGAAGAACATAATTTACAAGTAACTTCACTTTACCTGGCTACCCTGCGTGTTTATGTTTTCACTCTCGCTTGGGTGTGTCCCCATCGCTCCGAAGTTTTTTCCACGCGGCATGTTTGGGTGTTTTGATACCCCTAGGGTTCTTCCACCTTCTGTTTCATGCTTGTTTTGTGTACCTTCTTTTTTCTTGCCTAATTTGTGTGTTTTTTCACGCTTTTTCGGGCTCAGTGTGGGGGCAGCCATCTTGGTTGTTTATTAACGACTGTCCCACTTACTTGGGCTGCCCATTCTTGTGGGAGGGTGCTTCCATTTTTCGCCTGCAGGGGTTGTTTCTAGGTTTTTACGCTTCACATTTGTGTGTTACAGCTTTTGTGTGCATGACCCGCAGTTTTGTTGCATCTGCAAGGTGCAGAAGTTCGCCAAGGACCCACACCCCTGGTGCCCAGACTGTGCGACTGTTGCCTGTTCCATTGACGAAGCGCTGTCACTTTGTAATTCGCTGTCCGTCGCAGATTTCAAGGCCTACCTCAGCGCTTAAGAAGAAACGCTTTGTCACAACGGAAGAGGAAAATGTCTTCCCTGTTTCTTCTGTGGACTCCCGGTCTTCTCCCTCAGACGCCCGGTCGGACGCTTCTTTTCCTGTGATAGATCAGCCGGCCCACCCCTGCGCCTCGCTTGCTGACGCCTGGAAGCCTGCTTCGTCTGACACCTTTGTTGACCTATCCCACCCGGACGCTTTGTCGCATCCGGAGGTTCAGAAGTTGCTTCGACGCCTTTTGCCGGCAGCTGCCGGAGCCTGCTAGCACCGCTCCAGCGCCGCTGCTCAGCTTTGTCCCCGGCGCTCGACGCCTGTGGCAATTTGATTCTCCAGTTGCTGACTTGTTGCTTCAACCAACGCCGATGCTCTACGCCGACGCTTCCATGCGGACGCCGCGCTTATGCCGACGCCGACGCTTCATGCTGACGCCGACGCCTGTACCGGACGCCAGCGCCAGCGCCAACTCGACGCTTTGGCAGACTACCGTATCCCCAGGAAGGCTACAGTGTCTAGAGAGGAGAACCTACAACGCCAGTTAATGGAAGAGCGTTCTCGACGCCAGGACGCCGAAGCGTTCCCATCGTTCTCGACGATCTCGCTCCAGGTCTCCTCGGCAGCATCATCGGTCTAGGAGTCCTCGCCTTAGTTCGATACTTTCTTCGCCGCCGCCGGTCTGACTCAAGGTCTCGCCTCCGTGACGCTCCAAGGATAGGAGAGGCGCCACGGTCACCGATGCGTAGGTAGGCGATACCGCCGGGTCCCGCTCAAGGTCACTCCTGTTCGCCGCCGCCGCACGCCCACGCTCCCCGACAGTTACTTTGAGTGCTGCTTTCAGTTGTCATCGGTGGCGCCCAATCGGCCTGCTGCTTCGGTCAACGATTTACTGCTCTACCGCGGTCCTGGGAGGACACTGAGGAGCTATTTTTCTCCGATTATAATGAGGAAATGTTGCAAGAGGATGATGATGATGGGGCACCTACCTCTCCCTCTCTGCTGTGTTCGACTGGATTGCCGACAGCCTGCCGGATTGTCCTTCTCCCTCTTCAGGTTCGGGCCGACCCGAAGGCTATTCGGTCTTCTCCGAGTTACTCCTCCCCCCACCACCCGATGGTGGCTGATGCTGTGGCTTCTTTGGACGCTGATTTTGCTACTTTGTCTCTCAATACCACGATAAAGGCTCCTAAGTCACGCAGCAAAGGAGACTATAAGATTCATAGTTTGATTTTGCCCGATGGAGGCGCCGCTCATGACGAAGTCCCTCGCGCTTATCGGCTTTCCCCACAGGCATCCTACCGAAAGTGCAGGACTCCAAGATGTTGGCCATTGATGCAGAACTCCTGCCGGATGTTGAAGCCGGTATCAGCGCTGGCCTCGGCAACTTCGGGCTGCTGCTTGGGATCTGACGGAAGACAACATCAAGGTTAGAACATCTTACCACCCTGTTTCAATGGCAGGGCAAGGTGTTGCATGATTTGCTGGCGCCACCAGGCGGCTCTGGCCATGACAACGGTTGTTCGGGCGGATGGGTTTCCTGGAGCCCTGTTCTGGCAGGAAGAGTTTAAAAGGAAACTGTTAAGAGCCCCTTTATGCGCGCTTCGCTTCTATAAGGATAAGGAACACGCAGAGCTTACCAATACGGAGGTTTCTTTGTCCACGCTCAAGCTTTGAGTTCGGCCTTCGTGGCAGATCATCTGCAAGGGGTAGAGGGAAGCGCCGCTACGCCCCGAAGAAGAGACTCGCCCGCGACGCCTCTGGAAGAGGACGTGGGCCGTGGCAGATCCGGAACCTGTTTTTCAGCCGCCAGCAGGATCGTCCTGGGACCCCTTCGACGCCCGGCAGGGGTGGGGGAGACGAGCCTTACTTCGGGTCGCTGAAGTTGCGACCAACACGACTGGGACCTCCCGCCCCCAGTCGTGCCGGTTCGGCCCTCTACTCCAGTAGGCGGAGACTGGGGATCTTCTGGCCCAATTGGACAATCCTGAAGACCCGCTTATCACCAACATTCTCAGGACCGGTTACAAGCTGCCAATCGCCGTGTCGCCGCTTCTGACTTCAACGCGCCCAGTCACGTGTGTATGCTCTAGACCAACAGTTACTGCTAGCAGACAGCATCCACACTCTGTTACGCAAAACAAGCTATAGAGACAGTGCTAGACCCCCACAGTCCCCGGGTTCTACTCACCAATCTTCCTGGTTCCTAAGAAGGACTCCAGGGAAACTACGATGATTCACAACATGGCAGTTTTCAACCACCTTTATCTTTCGAACCGCCTCACTTCTCGCATGGTGTCCCTGGAACAGCTCACGAGCCAAGCTTGCAAGCTCAGGGTCTGGCTGGCCAGCCTCGACCTTCAGGATGCCTCGTACCTGCATGTGCCCATTTACCACCGCCACAGAAAGTACCTGAGGTTCTTTTTCAACGGGTCCCACTACCAGTGGAAAGTGCTTCCATTTGGAATTTCCACGCCCCTGGCTTTTTACCGGATTACCTCGCCGATCACCCGTTCCTCCATCTCAGGGGCATCGACTTCGACCCTTATATAGACGACTGTCTCATGAACCACCCTCGACCCTCAGTTGCTTCGCAAACAGATGCACTTTGCCATTCATCTCTTGCAGCAACTGGGATGGATTATCAACATAGACAAATCCCACCTGGAGCCGCCCCAGGAACTGACGCTTATAGGAGGCCTCTTCCTGACACATTGCGCACTTTGTCAGGATTCCGCTAGATCGCTGGAGAAAAGATTGTCAGTTTCGCCAACCGAGGTCTATCCCAGCCGCCGTGCTCAGGGAGTGGCAGTCCCTCTAGGTCTCCTCACCTCAGCCCAGGACTTGACGCTCAGAGGTCGCTTTTGATGCTTCGGGCCGCTACAGCTTCCTGTTGCCTTACATCCAGGCGGACGACCTTCAGTTGAGGTTCCTTTGCCCTGCATCTCCACGCTTACCTCCGCTGGTGGACTGTCGAGTCGAACATCTGCGCAGGAGTCTCCTTGACAGAGTTTGTTCACGCGATCACGAACTGTTCAGTAGATGCGCTCTCTTCAAGGTTGGGGTGCTCACCAACGACCAGACCACCTCGGGGCTGTGGTCAGGCACCGAGCCTAGGATGGCACATCAACAACTTGGAGCTGCAAGCAGTCATTTTAGCGGTTCGACACTGCGCCTCTTGTTATGGAACACCAGGCTCCTGATAGCGCCGGACAATTCCATGGTGGTGTGGTTGATTCACAATCAGGGAACGCCACCAGGTCCAAACAGTTGTTGGAGCAGACGCTCCAGCTGGCCAGTCTCCTGGACGATAATGGCATCAGCGCCAGAGCCCGACACATCCCAGGGTGCAAGAACGTTTTGGCAGACGCTTCAAGGCCGGGCAAACCGCTCCAACAGAGTGGATGCTACATCCAGAAGCGTTCAAACTTCTTTGTCACAGTCAGTCGGGCCGCCCTCTGATCGAACCTGTTTTGCGACTTCGCTTCAACACACAGCTGCCGCTTATGCGTGTTCTCCGATTCCAGATCCAGCGGCATGGGCGGTCGACGCCATGTCCTTGTCGGGAGGGTCTGGACGCGGTAACACGCCTTTCCACCACCAGTTCTGTTGCCAGCGGTAATAGCAAAGGTCAAGCGGACAGAGACGATTCGCTCTGCTTTTGGTCGCTTTGGTGGCCAGCTAGAACCTGGTTCCCAGATTCGGCGCCCGTCGGCGCCGAAGAAGTCCGCATAACAGTTACCAGACTGGCCTCACCTGCTCAGGCATCCCCACAGTCGACAGTGGCATCCCGATCCGACTCGGTTTCATCTGTCGCGGTTGGATCATCTGCAAAAGGTGCTGAAGGCCAAGGGCTACTCCACGGGTGTCGCCAAGGTTATTGCTCGTGCTCATCGAAGTCTCCACAAGATCACTCTATGATGATAAGTGGGTTTTCTTTTGAGAAGTTTGTGCACAGAAGTCCAAGGACCCATTGAAGGCTTCTCCTCAGTTTATAGCAGAGTTCCTTCTCTTTCTTCGAAGTCCCGGCGCCTCAAGGGCAACACTATAGGAACTTATTTATCGGGCTCTTAACTCCGCTCTGGCGGTCAAGCGCGACAAAAAGATTTCAAGGTTGCCAGAACTCATCGCCGCCCTCAAAGCGCTTAAGCTTGAGGACCAGAAGGCAAAGCTCCGGCCTCCTCCGGCTTGGGACCTAAACGCCGTTTCTTAGGTCATCTGAGAGGTCCCCTTATGAGCCCTTTGACACGGGCTTCTTTTGAGAACCTCTCCAGGAAGACAGCCTTTCTCTTGGCCCTGGCCACAGCAGCTAGGGTTAGTGAGATCCACGATTGGATGTCACCAGGGTGCTTTTGAGCAGTCACGGCATGGTCTTGTTCATCTCTCGACTGCTTTGGGATTTCGCGGGCCAAGAACCAGCTGCCGGACAACCGGATAGGATCTTCTCCATCCCTCCTTTGTCTTCCATTCTAGGACCTCAATGCACGCTGAGGAACAGCTGCTTTGATCCCGTGAGGGCACTTAAGATTTATATTGCCAAGTCATCTTCCAGGAGGCAGTCTCGTGAAGAGACTGTTCATCCTGCTGTCTTCTGTGGCCAAAGGTGAAGTTAATAAGAATACGCTTTGCGCTCTGGCTTCAGACCACCATCCTGACCGCCACGATCGCGCAAGATCTGCCTCATCCTACAGCCACTAATCCGCATGAGATTAGGGGCTCTGGCATCCACCATGGCTCTCCACAGAAACTGCACCGCCTCCAGCCATCATGGAGGGTTGTTTTGGAAGTCCTCTACTGTCTTCGCTAGTCATTACCCTGCGGGGATTTGGCCGTCGAGGGCGTGGAAGGTCTTCAATCGTTTGGTCCACTGGTGGTTGCTCAGCAACTCACCCATCCTACCGCCCATTAGGTAACTACTTCTTCTTACCTTCTGGTCTTCAGGTTAACTTACACTTTGGGTGTATTTGTTTTCCTTAGGGTTGCCTTTAGTTACTATCTGTCTCCTGTTCCAGGCCTCCCATGACAGTCTGGCGACATTCAGTAGTTTCTTCTGGTTTTCCCTTGGCATGTGGGTTTTTCGTGGACGGTCCTCTGGAGCCCGACACCGCCCGTCCTACTGTCGAATCCATATGCATAAGACCTATGGTAAGGTAAGTTAAAAATTTATTAAAATCTAAATATTTTAGATATTTAAATACTTACCTTACCATAGGGCGGTAACTCCCTCCCAACGCTGGATGCTCCTCCCCTCTCTGGGCTCTTCGGACCTGGTCAGTAAAAGTGATTTTGGATGGACCGCGCTTGCGCGGGAGGGGAGATCACGTCCCTTCCGTTGCCTGTACACTCGTCGATACACGAGGTGGCCGTTCTACAGAATGGCGAATCAAAGACTGTCTGATCTCTTTAAGCGGAGCTTGAGGTAATATGCATAAGACCTCTGGTAAGGTAAGTATTTAAATATCTAAAATATTTAGATTTTAATAAATTTCCATCTTTGCGATCATGTAATGTAAGTGAAATCACTGACAAGTGACATCCCGGCTCTCGCCGCCTCAATCTTCACGCTCGGACACGATGTTTAATGCGAAAATATATACATGAAGCATTTTTGTCACAGGTCATAACCTACCACGATACGTCAAATAAGTTCCATAATTTAGGTATAGGTAGCGATTTCTTGCTTAATATGTTCAAAATAGCATTATTTTACCCAAAACTTTCGTCTAAATCTAAAAGTTTTCGTTTACAAGGTGGAAACCATTACCGTTATATGATTGGCTGCCTTAGGTCACGTGTCTGATTTTGACCAATCACGACCCTTATAGCAGACTGTAGCGAAAAAGCGTCGTTCGAAACCAATTTTTTATCCAATAAAATCGCTTCTTACAACTGTGAAAATACTCTTGGCAAGGGTTCAGTGATGTTGTTGATGTTCAGAGCTTTCGAACGATACCCGACATCAGACGATTCGTCTCCCATGTTATTCATACGACGCTTCGAAAACGGAGGTATTTTCCGTTGTTATTTCATGTTACCGAGCGGAAAGCCACAGATATCGGGAAATAGGCGACCATTCATATTATTTAAGAAATATTTTTATAATAGTTTTCTGATTACGTAAAAATGAAAATATAAAAGAAAAAGGCACGGGCATGTTATGACATGTCACAAATGGAAAAAAATCGCCATAGTTTTTGCTTTTTTAGTGGTTTATCTGGACGTTATAAATGTAAGCTTGCATTTTCATTAAAAAATAATTTTATTTAAGTTGTAGTTGTATTATTTGAATAATATTATAAAAATAAACTTCATATTTATCAACAGTAGGATTAGATCTTTTAAATGGTGTATGGGATGTAGTAGCAATAACGTTTTACAAGCTTATAATTTCCTTCATAAACATAGGCTTCATCTATGACCTCAGAGTCTCTGGGAACTCGGTGTCATGGCAGTAAATGCCTCTGGTTGACTGGTGTTGAAAGAGTTAAGTAACAGTCAGATCACTTGTTCTTTCAAATATGTTGGGGCCGGTGTGATTCGTCATCTTCTGACATCTTGTTACAAATTGTCATGTTACCATACTTATTGGCAGATGCGGTTTCCATGGCTACTGATTTCATAACGGGCTTACTGTTGTTATTGATGTCACTATCTGTTGTGAGGAATATATTTAATTTAGAAGGCGAGTTGATTCCGAAAGACTGTTCATGAAACCTTATGCTGGAAAATGTGGTGTGATGAGGCAAGCAGTCCTATTTCAGGTGATTGTTTTAGAAATATTTGCAATTTTATATCAAAATAATCTCCTTTGTAGATGGACTCGTTCACCCCAGATGCACGCCTCCCTGGCCTACCCTCCCCCCACAAGATCGTGGGCAGCTTCATGCATAAGGCTGTGTCCCCCAACATAAAGAAATCCCCTGCTAAACTGCCCCCTCCTGATGTCAGGCCTGTCGGAACTGCAAGGAAGAAACTCTCTGTCAACGACTTCAGAGATGAGGTATGGATGGACATGCTTATTCCTCATTGGGAATCTGGTATTGAATAGTAACACAGCACTCACTCACTCACTCACTATACTTATTTGCTGATTGTGGATTGTGGTTGCTTTTGTATCATAGCTGGTTGTTGATTCTGATTGGTTGTGACCGCCTCCGTGGTGTAGTGGTTAGAGCGTCCGCCAGGAGAGCGGAAGGTCGCGGGTTCGATCCCCGACCGCGTCATACCAAAAGACGTTAAAATATGGTACTTGTTGGTCCCTGCCTGGCGCTCGGCATTAATGGGTACAAGGACTGGTCGGCTCGGAGTCAGTATAATGTGTCTGAGTGGGGTATTCATGCTTCATTGCGGCATGGTATCTCAGTGGGCTAGCACTATAAAACCAGCTTCAGTCTGGGCTAGTACAAGCAGCCGCACATACACATACATACGCATACACGTCGTCATATGAGCGAAATATTCTCAAGCACGACGTTAAACCCAATTTCACCTCACCTCACCTGATTGGTTGTTGATTGTCTTCAGGACTTTGTGGTCATCAAGATGTCGCCCAAGAAGAAACGAGTTTTGACGGAGCACCAGAAGGAGGTGATGAAGGAGAGAAGGTGACTTACATTATCACTTGTACAATGTGTATTTGCAATTTCTTTCCGCTTTCAAATAATGTGTCCTGCTGTCATTACTATGAAGGTTCAAGTTCCAGAACAGTCACAATCTGGAGCACTCTGAACCTCTTTTCTTGGTTTTCTTGTGTTGCACCAAAGCTATATAAAATTTTTAACAGTAGCATGATTTTGTGTGCTTCACTATAGGTAAACCAGTCATTATCTTGAATATGTTGCACTTTACAGTCGTATGAAAGGTTTTACTGACAGTGTGATTGCTATTTTCCTATCAAAAGAAGTGAGAGAGAAAAACAAACTTTACCAAGCAATTGTTTTTAGCCAATACAGAAAACGTCTAATTGTTTTTGCCTGACCATTGTTCCTGATAGGTGAGTTGGGTTTTACTCACTCATTTTGCTCATATCACTCACCCTCACTCACTCACTCCTCACTCACTCTTCACTTCCGGTTTCTCCAGGACACTCCCAGTGATGTATAACAACCTTGACCTCTCCCAGGACGTGTCGTTGATGGCCTCCCAGTTCAACACAGACACACAGCAGGAGTGAGTTCCAATAGACTATCATCATTTGTGTTTTGAATCATGCAGTTAAATATTAGTTTAAAATTTGAGATATACAGTACCATTTGAAGGCAGGTGAAACATGAGGTTTGTGTGTGGACAGTCTTGTTTCTTTGGCCTCATAGAAGGCAGGGGTGGAAATAACTTTAAAATTGCTAGTGTACTCCGGTACAGTGGCACATGTAAAATCACTTGCCCTGATAATTTTTCCACTATACCGGCTGTTTTCTTGTTGATTTTTAAAAATAAACAAAATAATTAATATTGGAAAGTCAACTGGACACCGGTACAGTGTGATATACAAATTTGCTTGCCCGACAGAAAAACACACTGGACTCGGGCGTCGGGCAATGGGTTATTTCCACCCCTGGAAGGTAGATGTTACTTTTTAGGAATCATAATATTTTGGACCAAATATGTTACAGATTTTGTCCCGAAACATCATGTAACTTAAAGTCGATACTGACCTTGCTGTTACTATTGTCCAACAAAATTGACCCATGAAGATCCAGGTTAGAGTTTTGTCATAATTGGCAACTAACTGGTTTCATGTGGTCCTGACTTGGTTGACACGGGTTATGGTATGTCAAATGCCAGGTTGATGCTAATGGTGACTGTCACTGGATTGTCTGGTCCAGACTGGATTATTGAGTTTGTTTGCCCACATCTGTTCTCTGTCTGAAGCCCATTTCTGGTGTCTCTCCACCCATCATGATATTGCTGGACTATTATTGGAAATGGTAAAAACAACACTTACTCCACCACCCACTACAATATGCCCTGACATCCATAGTTGACTCCAAATGGTCTGGTCGCTTTCGTCAGTAGCTGGTCTACTTCGCCTTACATCATGGATGAGAGTATCAGTCACTTGATTGACTGGTCCAGATTCGTATATATTACAGCTGCCATCATACAGTTCTTTCAGAATATTGATCTTCAGTAACCCATGCTTGTCATAAGAGGCAACTAGTTGACCACGTCATCGGTTCCCAATTGCGCAGATCGATGCTCATGCTGTTGATCACTGGATTGTCTGGTCCAGACTCAATTATTTACAGACCGCCGCCATATAGCTGGAATATTGCTGAGTGCGGCGTAAAACTAAACTCACTCACTTACTGCTGAGTGCAGTGGTAATTAATACAAGAACAAATGTGTTTGTCTTGGATCATGTAATGGTAGTTCATGTGTTTATGGTTTCTTTTTCAGTTCCATCACTATGCAGTCACAGCCACAGTCAGATAATTCAGTGATAGTCATTAATTCAAGCCAGTCACAAAACCTTGAACATGACAAGGTAAGGACACTCGGCAATAGTCAGAAACTTGTCAGAAATTACAAGTACAGTTGGATACATTTTCCAAGCTCAAATCCGTCATCCAAATCAATACAATTTGCTGTTCTGAGTTGCCTCCCTAAACTAACTTGAATCTTATAAATAATCGTTGAAATCTTGATCCACCTTTCATAATGTTTATCCTGTTGTTCTATATAGAAGTAATAAAAGAGCTAAGTATTCTTTCACTCACTCACTCACTCACTCACTCACTCACTCCTGTGTGATCTTTCCTTCAGGTTCCAGCCACTGTGCCAAAGTCTTCAAGCACAGAGTCTCTTGCCGATGATCCCACGTCAGACGGAAAGAGAGGTCGCAGGCGTCGTTCAGTGCGATTCAGCAACGATGACAGCCAGGAAAAGGAGGGAGAAAAGTCTGAGATGAAGAGCCCTCCCAATGCGCCTCCAACTCTCCGGTCTCTGAGGTCGAGAAAGGATACGAAACCGTCGGACGAGGAGCAGAAGTCAAATGAGAAGGAACCGAAATCAGCAGATAAGGAATCAAAGTTGACGAAAAATGATTTCGAAGGCTCAAAAGATAAGGAGGCTTTTAAAGATTCAAAGGTGAAAGGAAATAAAGATGACGAGTCGGTCAGTTCAAGTGTTAATATTGACTCCAGTGAACCTTCAGCGAGTCCGTCCTTGAAGCAGAACCTTATGCACGCACTTGGTGATCAGTGGTTGAATACCTTGAGAAGTTCATCCAGTTCATCCCTGGGAAAAAGTGACTCCTCAGTGGGGAGTAAATGTGAGGAAGAATCCGTGAAAGAATCTGGCAACTCTACAAGTGGCTCCCAGAATTCCCAGGAAGGAAGTGTGGAACATTTCAGTCCGTTCAAATCAATTAGTCAGTCGCCACCAGAACGAAGGTCAAGGTCACCAGGGAAGAAGTCTCTGAGCCAGGAGGTGACAAGCTCCGCGAAGTCGCCCAACAGGAGCCGAGATCGAAGCAAGAGCACTCAAGCTGGTAGTCTGGATAAATGGTTGGTGAAATCACCTGCCAAAGGAAAGAGTCCTGTGTCTGATCCCAAGTCTCCAGATGAATCCTTCGTTCCCGATACTCAGTTGTCAACCACAATGGAGGTGTCGTTGTTGCACGCTGTAGTCGAAGATACGATGTCTCCATCGAAGGGCACACACATGTCACGCAAGTCGTCTCACTCGTTCGTTGAAGACACACAGTCTCCCTCAAAGTTTAGTGAAAAGAATCTGTTCTCCCCTGATATTAACGCTTCGATTGAGGAGACACCAGTGAAAGATTCATCCAGTGTGTTGCCTGGACCCTTATCACTGCCCTCCAGTCGCAACTTGTTTGGGGAATGTGACAAAATAGAAAGTCAGGACCAAGAATCGGATGACAAAGAGAATGATGTCAAGCTGGGGACGCCTGTTTTGAAAATAAAGAAACTGACTACCGAAGAGATAAATGTGTTGTCTCATGGTTCCCCTGAAAAAGCAGTGTCAAAGGCTCTGTTCAAAGAACCCTTGTCAGTTTGTGAAGACAGCGCGTCCCAAAACGCTGATGTCCCGTGTTCACAAGGGTTTCCGACAGCAGACACCAGGGAGGACTTGGAAACAATGGAATCGCAATTTAGTCCTGTGTTTCCAAGGATATCAGGAGAGAGGCCGGACTCACAGATAGCTGTAAATTCAGATCCTGACTCGAATCGGCATTTTGAGCTTTGGACAGAGAGAGGAGTTGATTAATGCATCGAGTTCATCCTCTAACTACAGTGTCAGTGTTCTCAATCCTGACTCAGTTAAAAGAAGTTCTCAAGATTCCATTTCTCAAAGTTCTGAGATTCCTAAAGACAAAGAAGCAGAGATGGAGACAGGGGAAAAGTTTACAGAGGAGCTGTTTGAAACTTGTCCAACTGACACTGTGACTGCATACAATCCAGACTCAATATCGACCTTGAAAGAAGGTTCTTCCCAAAGTACGACTGCTTCAAGCAGCTCTCAAAGCACCAGTTCGAGCCAGAGCTCACAAGCAAATTCAGAAGCTGAGACTATATTGTCTGAAGGGTCGTACAAGGTCGACCTTGTTTCCACTCTGGCTGATGAACCAGCATCTAGGAGGAGGAAGCAGGATACACCGAAGAAAATGGGTCTGGAAGATTTGAGGAGGACACCGAGACAGAGGAAGAAGAAGACTTTTGATGGTTTTGAAGTCGATGGAATTTCCAAGTCTGAAAATCCTGCTGATAGTACTCCTTCCAGAAGAGGTGCCCGACCTCCTAGTGCTAAGAAAAGGTTGGAGAAACAGTCTGAGGATAAACAAAGCTCTCAGGAGAAGGAACCTGAGAAGGAGGAAGAGTTGATAAATGGAAAAGAGGAAGGGAAGAAGAAGGTTGGACGCCAAAGAAAAAGTTTGAAAGAAAGTGACGAGATTGACAGTTCTCAGGAGAAGATTGCCGAGAATGAGGAAGATGTGTTGCCTCATAGAAATATAGAGGAGGTTAGGAAGAAGTATGGACGAACACGAAAAGTTGATGTTTCTAGTTCGCAGTCAGAGCAGGACAGTCAAGAGAAGACTGAGCCCAGAAGAGGAAGGAAACGGAAAGCAGATGTTGAAGAAAATGATGAGGAAGAAGATGATCTTCCTTTGTCTCAAGTTAGTCAATCAAAATCTGCATCAAAGAGGCAAGGAAGAAATAAAACTGATTTAGAGGAGACTGAGGAGAAGACGAAAGAAGCACCCAAGAGGAAGAGAACGAGGAAGAGTCTAGCTACTGAGATGACTGAGTCCGAAAACCTAGAGTCTCAAGCAAGGAAGAGAAACCCACTGGAAGAGTTGGAGAAAACAGATTTGGGTCATGACTGTAACCAGAAAGAAGGGGACGAATCTAAAGCTGATGTTGATGAGGAGACCAAATCTGATTCCCAGGTCAAGCAGACTTACAGGAATCCACTGAAAGTCGATGATGCAGCTTGTCCAGAAAGTTCCAGTTCTGGAGGTGATGATTCTTCTTCCTCGCAGGGAAAGAAACCGAGGAGAATTCAACCCCAGATGGTTGACCCTGGTCAGGAAATGATTCATCCTGCATTTACAGTTGGTACAAAAGAGACGCCAATTATTTTGGAGGAGAGCTGTGTGAATTCAGAAAGTACTGACTCAAAGGAAAGTGATAGACAGACAGAGGAAAGTCAGCAAGGTACAGAGGTTATTATAGTCGGAATGGAGTTTGACAGTTCCAAGTCACTAAATGAGCAGACACCAGAAGAAAGCCAGATGTCTAGTGAGGACATATCTAAGGAAGGCGAGCAGACGCCGTCTGCCAAGCCCTCACAAGTCCCCGTGAGACGCAGTACCACCAAACAGAAGATCGAAGCTGCCAGAAAAAGGTCCATTTCCAAAATGTCAGACAAGAAATCTGAGGATTCGAGTGTGGATGATCCAAATGAGTGGACAGAGAGTAAATGCAGTGCAGTGAAAACAGTTTTGATACAGGAAAAGAATAAAGATAAAGACAGTGATAAAGTTGACAGTCCGATGGATGTTATTGACTCATCACAGACTCAACATAAGTCAATGTTTGTTAATCTGGACCTGTCATTTTGTAAGGACTCCCCTCGGGCAGCTGAACATGACAAGATCAAGGGAAAGGTGGATGAGATAATAAGTAGTTTGGCAAGTCCAGTTCCTCCTGGCAAAGATGTTGCTCTAGGCAATAAACGAAAGAGGAACATGTCGAAGCCGAAAGTGTCGTCTCCAGTCAGTGTACGACTGCGGTCCTCAAAACTGGTTTTACGAGCACGAGCCAAATTAGCAGGTAAAACCGTGTCCAAGGTTTCACCTTTAACTTTGGTAAGAACAAGAAACAGACCATCTCCCAGACCAAAGAGAATTCTGGAAGAAAAAGATTCAATAGTAGATTTGGAAGTTGACACAAAATGTATGGTTAAAACAGATGATAGAGACGAAGTGACTAGCAATTGTGATGTGGTTGCCTTGGCAACAATTGATAACTCTGGAAGTGCTGTAGAAACTGAAACTGGTTTGGAACAAATGGAAATCGGTTCAGAAATAACTGAAACTGATTTAGAACAAAGTACAACCTGTTTAGAGCAAACTAAAACTGGTTTGGAAAAAGATGAATCTGTTCCAGAGCAGACTGAAACTAGTTCAGAAAAAATGGAAAATGAACCTGAGAAAACTGAAACTGGTTGTGTTGATGCTACTGACACCTGTGATGAAAATACAAGTCTTGCTAGTGCTCCTGTTCGACCTAAGACTGTTGATCCTCTGAATGATACTCCAAGGAAATCGGCTGAAAAGCCCAAGCGCAAAGTGATCCATGCTCATCGTGGCTTTTCTGATTCCAAAGTGCTCAGCTTGAATAGAATTCGGGCAAGAAACCGGTTGGCTGATCGTGGAATGAGTATTGTGAGGCGCAGCATACTGAAGCAAAAGAACTCCACAGACAACAGCAGCCCCTCAAAGAGGCCATGTGACCCAGACTTTCAGCCAATCAAAGTGTTCAAGTTTCATTCACCGAGTGCCTCCCCAAGTGCTGGGATCTTGAAGAAGCGTCGACTTATCTCTGACACCCCAGTCAACTCTCCCTCCCCTCCTTCCAAGGTGAGTTTAAATATTGAGGGTGATAATTTCTTATATCCTTGTATGAGTGCAATATTCAGGATATAATAATTTGTTCCTGAACAATCTTGAAAAATATATCTTGTTATCAGGTTTGCAGTGTGTGTGTGTGTGAAGGTAAAGGGGGCTTTAGTGCTGTAACGATGCATCCAACTATCGATGGATTGCATGTGTTGAGTCTCCGATAGCAATTAATCGATGGTAGAACTGAAAAGGTATCGATGCATCCATAGTATGTGTGACTATCGATAGTTCAGTAACTGACTTTCATTGAAAAATGTGCAGCGCAAAATACTGGAAGTACCAGATTCATTCACTTTGATTTAGAGTTGTGCGCCCCTGTTACCTCTTAAACAAACTTGATGTCAAGTTTCTTGTCAGTTATTAAAAGAGACTGAAACTACTCCAGCTTGCTTTTATTTCATATAAATGACTTCAAATGAGACAATTCAAGGAGAGAAAAAACTATTGCAATACTATTGTAATAGTTGGTTGCAATAGACTATCACTATTGCAATAGTTGGTTGCAATAGTATGTTGCAATAGACTGTCACTATTGCAATAGTTGGTCGCAATAGTATGTTGCAATAGACTGTCACTATTGCAATAGTTGGTCGCAATAGACTTTCACTATTGCAATAGTTGGTTGCAATAGACTGTCACTATTGCAATAGTTGGTCGCAATAGTATGTTGCAATAGACTGTCACTATTGCAATAGTTGGTCGCAATAGTATGTTGCAATAGACTCACTATTGCAATAGTTGGTCACAATAGTATGTTGCAATAGACTGTCACTATTGCAATAGTTGGTCATAGATGTCACTGTCACTATTGCAATAGTATGTTGCAATAGACTGTCACTATTGCAATAGTTGGTCACAATAGTATGTTGCAATAGACTGTTGCAATACACTATCACTATTGCAATACTATTGCAATAGTTGTTGTAGACTCACTATGGCAATAATAGACTGTCACTATTGCAATAGTTGGTCGCAATAGTATGTTGCAATAGACTATCACTATTGCAATTGTTGTTTCCCCTCAATAGTCACCCCAAGGGGCTCAATTGACAGAGGATTCATCATTCAGTTTTTTTTTAATATGTTACACATCAGATTTTATTCTCCGTTTGTCGGCTAATACCAATTAATCTCGGTTGATATTTCCCACATCAAGAAAACGAAAGTGTCGTGGGAGAAGGCTCCGAGCATAAGTTTTCAATTACAATTGGGTGTCTTTTGACTGAAGCACATTTGGAGCTTTAACCATGTTAACTAGTTATGTTTGCACCAGTAATGTTGCACCCGTGAAGGTCCGGGTTAGAATATTGATCTTCAGTAACCCATGCTTGTCGTAAGAGGCGACTAACGGGATCGGGTGGTCAGGCTCGCTGACTTGGTTGACACATGTCATCGGTTCCCCATCGCGCAGATCGATGCTCATGCTGTTGATTAATGGATTGTCTGGTTGTCAGACTCGATTATTTACAGACCGCCGCCATATAGCTGGACTATTGCTGAGTGCGGCGTAAAACTTAACTCACTCACTCACTCAGTAATGTTGCCAACAAACATAGTATTGACACCACCAGAAACAATGATAATTTGACATGATGGGATTTTTACCATTAAGCTGGGTGTCAGTGTTTGGGATGAAGCGGAGCCTGAAATTATGTTTTCATATTTACTAGTGCTGGTCAGGGTCAATATGGCAGTAATGTTTCACAGAATGGATGTTTTTGTGACCAGTTATCAGGTTTGTTTGATTTGGCGGAACTTTATTGTCGTGCAACTTCTGCACAAGGTGTATATAAATGCAGAATGTGTTTGTGATCAGACATTATCTTGTAAAAATGTTGCCCCACAGGGAAGATAGGGTTAGAATTGATCTACGCTGATGGTAAGAGGCACTCGAAGAGGTGAAATGCCCAGTCTGGTTGACTAAGTTCAGTGTGTCATTTTACTCCAATGATGTGGGTCATTTTAATCATGGGTTTGTCTAGCCCAGACTAAACTATTAAATGCTGCTGAGTAGGGTGTTAACAAGCAAACATCAACCTTGTCCAGTGCGATTGTAAGAAGACGTTCTCTCAGTGTCAGTTGTGTGTGAGTGTATGACAATAGAATGCTGATGTAACCTTGTATAGTATGACCAGAAATTATTGAGAATTTGAGGAATATGTTTAATTGGATTTCTAGTATAAACAACCTTGACCAGCTATCAAGTGCTTGGTTTCATTCAAGAGAGACAACTCCGTTAATCCTTTTTCATTAGTTTGTGAAGAGTTATCCCCCTTTGTTTACTTGCTAGCAGACGACATTTTCAGTGATCCTCAGTATGGATGATTTAGAGAAGAGGAAGTTGATTTTAGAGTATTATAACAAGGACATCAGATCAGCTAATGTGATTTCAAGTAGAACAAGCATCCCTTTGCCCACTGTTTATCGTGTTTTGAAAAATATTGCAAATGGATATGGCATTGAGCACCAGGGAGGCTTAGGTAGGCCCAGAAAATTGACTGTCGGTGACAGGAGGTGGCTTGGTATTCTTGTTTCTAAAACAAACGAAGGAGTTTAGAAAACTTAAGGCTGGATATGATTGATAGAGGAACTGTGGCTGTCTGTAAGGAGACAATTAGAACTGAGCTGCATGCAATGGTTTCTAGGAATTCCATCACCTATCATGAAACCTGAACAAAAGGAGACAAAGGTTGAACTGGTGCTTACACATAGAAATTTTAACTGGGACAATGTTATTTTCTCTTGGATGAAAGTTCTGTGTGACTGTTTCCTAATACACTGAAATTTTGGACCAAACAAACTGAAAAACCTTTGACCCAAAGTACATCCAATAGAAAATGTTTGGGGACTTATTTGAAGGGAAAGTGTCAATAATCTGCTCACGGTTCTATGGAAAAAATCTGACAAAAATATTACTGAAATGAAAGAAGAAGGTGTCAATAAGAAAAATCGATATTGGGACAGCATGGGACCATGGGACAGCATGGACTTTCTAACTTCTTTGATCAGTAGTATGCCCCGCCGCATTGAAGCCTGCATTGCTGCCCATGGTGACTTGACAAAATACCAACTGTTCACCTGTCTTTGAATCTGGAGTTATGTTCAGCTAATATTCACATTTAATACATGAGTAAGGAGTGAAAAAAAATTAAAAATTACAATCTTAAATTCTCAATAATTGTGGTTGTGCTGTATGTTGCAGAGGCGGGTGTCGTTTGCCGAACCCATCATCAGTGGAGAAAGCCCTCACCGGAGAGTCAGCATCGACTTCATCAAGTCCAGGAGTGCTGCAGGAAAGGTAGCCAATCAGATGACAGCTTATATCTTTTCCCTGTTACATATATGGCATTTCAGTCATATGCTTATGCTGGCTCACTTGTGGTTTCTTTGCTTCTCTGCTTATCAGTTAAAACTGCTTTCTTGGCCTCAGTTATCTTAAACTATTGTCTCATCTTGTTGTGTCTGATTTGCAATTGCTTGCAGGGTTCTGATCTGACCTTTGCATCATTGTTTGCCTACTTACTGTACGATTTTGAGATAGGCTTTAGAAACATCTTGAATTTGTCTTGCTTACCTTAACTGTGCACTTGCAGAGTTGCATCCCTTAGGTTGACAGAATTCTATGACCGCAGGTTCAAGTCACCCTGAATCTTTTCAGCAACAGAAATGTAATAATGTGATTCACTAATTTGGCACCAGCATCACATACAATTTTCAAGCTTCTTTGTGAAATATATCTTTGCTTTTTCATGCTTGATATTTTCATTGTTTTGTGTTTTTTTTTTCATGCAAGAGATTAACATTGCTTTGCTTATTTCATGCTTGGGCTCGGCTTGGCTTGGCTTTCGCTCTGCTCTGCTGTTTTATGCCTGGGCTTTGCTTTTTCATGCTTGAGCTTTGCTTTCCATTTGTTCACAGCAATTGTTCAGTGTTCCCCGAAGACCTAGCAACAGCCTGCGGGCCCCCCTCAGCAGACCCAAGAAGGTTCATCTTTCACATGTGTTTTTGTCAAGGACATGGAGAATCTTTTTTGAATCAAATATACTGAGGGAAAGAAATAAGGGAACACCTTTTCATGGCAGTTATGCTTTATTTATTATCAGATTTCCTCCCACAGCACTATTCAGAGCTGGTGATGAAAACAGGAAAATATGAGAAACGCTTGAATTCTCCTGTGTTCCTTTATTTGTTTCTCTCAGTATATATCAACACGAGTCCCTAACAACATCTTTATATCATCTGCATCATGAGGAGTTTTAGACTTTTGACTGTTGATGTGTATTTGTATCTAATGCCGAAGGGTAAAGTTCTAATTATCTTCCAAAGTCTTCCAACAGTTTCTCACTTTGTAGCAGCAGTAGAGCGCCCACCGAGAACCAGGTGTATGAATAGACCAAAAAGACTTTAAAATATGGTACTTGTTGGTCCCTGCCTGGTGCATTAAAGCACAAGGACTGGTCCGCCGAAGTATAATGTGTTGAATTCCTTCACCGCGGCATGGTATCTCATTGCTAGCACTGAAGCCCAGCTTTCTGGTGTACAAGCAGCCGCATGATATTGCTGGAATATGAGCTAAAATTCGCACGCGTTAAAACCAAACCTCACCTCACTCACTCACTGAATAGAGCAAGCCAGCTTCAGTGGAAGGGAGATGAGTGATGTCATTTGATTGTGATTGTGATGATACCATGGTAACTGATTACATCACAATGATCTGCGATCTGATGCAATGCCATTGTTTTACATAAACAACATAATTAATATTGGAAAGTCAACTGGACACGGTACAGTGTGATATACAAATTTGCTTGCCCAACAGAAAAAACACTGGACGGGTTTCATTCCCCACGCTTGGTACAATGTTGTGGCCGGGATAATGGGTTATTTCTAAACCTGTAACTGCATCTTGTCCCTTGTCATATCACTAGATATGGTATTGTGACTCTAAACCTTCTAGCGCCTCATTGGCAGCTTCGGTTGTCGACTTCCCAGAGACCTGAGACTGAAGTTTGAGAGCTCACTAATGCATGGACATGGATTATTACACTGTAACCCTGTGACCTCTTGATCTACTGAATATATGTTTACGTTGATTATTAGTAAACGACCTCACTCCCTATTGGATCTTTACACCTGTTAAATCTTTATATATATTTTCCTTCCATGCTAAATGAACCTTATTTTCACAGACGGTTGTTGATGGAGGCACAGACTCACAGCCCAGCCAATCACCAGTCAGCCAATCACAGGCCAGCTACCGGAGCACGCAGGAGTCCCAGCTGAACAGCTCCGACCCGGTGTACCCAGATCTCATCACCTGCACAGAGTCCGTCACGAAGGTCCTGCCCCAACTGACGTCGTCCGTGTGGTAAGATGACTTTCAACATTTGAACTATTTTCATTTCTTGCTAAACTGTCAAACTTTCTTTGAGATTTGAGGTTAGAGTTGATCCTCCGTAACCGATGCTGGTTGTAGGAAGCCAATAAATGCCCTTGTGGACATGATCACTGTATAGTTTGTGTCACTGTACACAAGTGATGTGGACTGTTGCTCATTATATCAATCACTGGATTGTTTGGCCCAGACTTAGAGGTTATATCAGTTTGGTTGAATGAATGATAATTGTATCAGAGTGCTGGAATTTTGGACATTGTATCAGTTTAGTTGAATGATAGAGGATTGTATCTGTTTTGTTGAATGATAGAGGATTGTATCTGTTTGGTTGAATGATAGAGGATTATATCAGGTCGGTGGTTGAATAATAGAGGATTGTATCAGGTTGGTGGTTGAATGATAGAGGATTGTATCAGGTCGGTGGTTGAATGATAGAGGATTGTATCAGGTCGGTGGTTGAATGATAGAGGATTATATCAGGTCGGTGGTTGAATGATAGAGGATTGTATCAGGTTGGTGGTTGAATGATAGAGGATTATATCAGGTCGGTGGTTGAATAGTAGAGGATTATATCAGGTCGGTGGTTGAATGACAGGATTATATCAGGTTGGTGGTTGAATGATAGAGGATTGTATCAGGTCGGTGGTTGAATAATAGAGGATTATATCAGGTTGGTGGTTGAATGATAGAGGATTGTGTGAGGTTGGTGGTTGAATGATAGATGAATGTGTGAGGGTGGTTGAATGATAGATGATTGTATCAGGTCGATGGTTGAATGATAGAGGATTGTATCAGGTTGGAGGTTGAATGATAGAGGATTGTATCAGGTTGGTGGTTGAATGATAGAGGATTGTATCAGGTCGGTGGTTGAATGATAGATGATTGTATCAGGTTGGTGGTTGAATGATAGATGATTGTATCAGGTCGGTGGTTGAATGATAGATAATTGTATCAGGTTGGTGGTTGAATGATAGAGAATTGTATCAGTTTGGAAGCTGAATGAGTAAGACCACATTTATTAAGTTGAATGTTACGGTTTAACTATTTGTAACTGTTCAGGTCCCGTGGTCTTGGTCAGCTGGTGAAGGCTCGCAACATCCACACTGTTGGAGATCTCAGCAAACTGACGGAGGTCGACATCCACAATCTTCCCATCAGGTCACCCAAGGTCGTCACAGTGCGCAGAGTTCTGCATGACCTTGAGCAGCACCTTGAGGTGAAAAGGTCAAAGGATGTCAAGGCCACAGATTCTGAATCTGATCAGGAAGACAAAGCTGAAAGTGCACTTTTCAAAGGTAAATACTGCGGTCTAATTTTAAAACTCAATGTTCCTTTCAAGACTTGGGGTGGTGGGGTAGCCTGGTGGTTAAAGCGTTCACTCGTCACGCCGAAGACCCAGGTTCGATTCCCCACATGGGCACAGTGTGTGAAGCCCATTTCTGGTGTCCCCTGCCGTGATATTGCTGGAATATTGCTGAAAGCGGCGTAAAACTTAACTCACTGACTCACTTTCTAGACTTGGAGCTTGTTTGCTCTATATTTGTTTTTCTTGTCGTCTGGTAGAACATACCATGATCCGATACCCGTGCTTCAAGCAGTTCAAAATTACCATTGTGGTGTTCAGTAAGATAAATATGTTGTGCACTGGTCCCTTCGGGCTCAAGGAACATAAACAAATATCGACGGGTAAATCGGCCCATGTACCCAAGAGACCAGTGAACAACTTAAAATGACACCCTGCATTCAATTTCCAACATGAGAACAGGTGAGGTGAGGTGAAATTGGGTTTAACGTCGTGCTTGAGAATATTTCGCTCATATGACGACGTGCATGCGTGTGTATGTGTATGTGCGGCTGCTTGTACTAGCCCAGACCGAAGCTGGTTTTATAGTGCTAGCCCACTGAGATACCGTGCCACAGTTAAGCATAAATACCCCACTCGGACACATTATACTGACTCCGAGCTGACCAGTCCTTGTTGTACCCATTTATGCCGAGCGCCAGGCAGGGACCAACAAGTGCCATATTTTAACGTCTTTTGGTATGACGCGGTCTGGGATCGAACCCGAGACCTTCCGATCTCTGAGCGGACGCTCTAACCACTACACCACGGAGGCGGTCACATGAGAACAGAAAGTGTGAAGTCCTTTTCCTGGTGTCACCTACAAAATATTGCTTGAGTAATAAATCCCATCTCTTTTCCTCACCCTTTCACATACCTATCTGGTATCGATTGGATCTCATTTAGACCTCACAACATGTTTGTTTGCCTGGAGTTAAGCTTCATTAAAATTTACTAAGGCAAATTGTGTAGGTATTTTCTTTGCATTAATTTGTACCAAACCTCTTCAGCTTACGTTGAAGCAAATGTCTTAAAGCTAATATTGCAGTAATTTGAACTATATTTTAATGACTGTTTGTTGATAGTGCCAAGCATGGCTCCCATGCAGTCGCTGGATACAATCGAGGAGGATGGGGAGACGGAGACGAAGGAAACGCGTGAAGAGGAACCTGACTCCCTCCCAGACATGGAGGTTGCTCTGGATGAACTTGTGCCCAGAAATGGTAAGAATGTTTCATCCATCTGGCCTTAAAAGGTGTCACTTTAGTTCATGGGATCGCATGGTCAGATTTACTGTCATGGCTGACGCATGTCATTGTGTCCTATTTGTGTCATCAATGCCCAGGATGTTAGTCACTGGATTGTCTTGCCCAGATGTGATTGCATACAGACTGCCATAATATTTCAATCTTGTATATCGTAATATTGACATATTTTTTGGGCTATGTTTGTAATATCTGACATTTCAATTTTTCAGCAGATGATGAACTAAACAGCAGCATTGAGGCTGAGCCTGAAGTGACAGCGGAAAGTGTAGTGGAGTCATGTGACCAACCAATTAGCCAATCACAGAGCTCAGGCAGTTCTAGCCAATCAGATTCAGTATTTCTACCAGACTCTGCAGCTGATGCCCAAGGAGGACCTACACCAACTGTGAAACTGGCCTCAGCTTCTGCCAGTGCTGAAGATCCCGGTGCCAATCTGGCAAACATACTGGAATCTCTTGTGAAAGAAAATGACTATAAAAGTCTGGCGAAGATGAGAACTGGGGACTTATTCAAGGTTCATCAGCATCTTACCCATCTGTCAAACATTGTTGTCACGGCGATGAAGAGTCGATGTCATTCACCTACTAATTCTCAGTGAATGGTTCAGTATGGGGATTAGATGGTTAAAATGATCGCTAGGTATGGTAAGTACTGCAATATGTGATAGAAGAAGCAACTTGACATCACCGACAGTCTTCTGATAAGATGACGGCACAATATCCTACAACTGCAACCACCAGATGCATGGAGTGAGGACCAAGGCTGAAATAGAGTATAACTTGACAGAAACAGCTGTTGAGAATGATCAAAGTGATTCTGAAGTGACATTTCCTACAGTACCAGATTCAAGATATTGTTGATACACTTTGTCAGAGTGGCCATTGACTGTTGTTACACTACAAGACCCAACAAGGAACATCCTCGATTAGCCAGGACAGTAAGATGCATACCCTGGACTCATACTCTACCAGAGCTTTGTTTGTAAAGTGAGGCCATCTCTGTGTTCATGTTTCTTATGAGTAACAGATTTTCTCTTGCTCATAAGTGTAATTCGATCAGAGGCTAGTTTAAAGAATATTTTACATGATGGTATATTGTGTCAAATGGTTTGCAGCACGGTGTATTGTGTCAAATACTTTTACGTAACGTCATTGGGCACCTGTCATGTAATTCACTGGTATTCTCTTGACACATTTGCATCCTTTAAAAGCAGTTAGTTGGTTCAAATCCCAGTAAGCCCTGATTGTTTAGATTTGTGATCATGTGTTTAAAGCAAAATGGTAAACGTCAAAGACCTGCGTCACTTCTGGCTTTTCACACACATAGCCTGCACTCTATTCTAGCTCAAGTTAGCAACATTGGTGCTCACTCTGTCAACCATTGGTTCTGTTTTGCCTTGACTCACCAGGTATTAATTCACGGTCAATGATTTTCAAGATCTATCTTTATTTTTTGGATTGATTTATTTGATCTTAGTTTAGTGTGCAGCATGAAGACGGACATCTTGGACACATTTTTTTAGCAATCATGAATTCAGAGACATTCATCAGTGAAAACTGATAGTGGTGGGCATATTGGACGTCAGTGAGGAAGTGAAAACAGATCATTTGTAACTTATAGAAATGTGTTTATCAGAAGGTCGTGAGTGCATGTAACAGATATCACTGGTAGTCGAGTGAGAAGAACCCTTGCACCATGTTATATTTGGGACTACACTTCCTCCGTACAGTACAGATTGCCAGTTAGGAACGTTACAGATAGTGTGATGGGTGTGAGTGCTTGCTGGAACAAGGACTTGGTTTCATTCTGTTCTTGTTCTTGAGTTACTCAGCTCACAGCAGGTTATTAAACATTGACAGTTTGTGGTCAAGTATGGGAACAAATTTGTCTTGCACAAGGCCTCGCTGTGATTTGCCTAGCCTTGCTGAGACAAGCCCATTTCATGCAGAATCATTTGGAAAACTTCACAAGAATAACTTAAGCAATCACTGAGGACGACTAATATCGTTTTCTAGATTTATGATCAGAATGTAAGTGTTACACAATCCCAGGGCCCTATGGAAGTATTCCATGAGGTTTCCACATCCGCTTGTTCCAGGAGGATATTGAATGGTGCTGTTATATGAATAAAGAAAGAAGATATAGTGTGGAGAAGCAATATGTCTCCATTTCTCCATAAACAAAGGGGCCGGTGGGGTAGCCTAGCGGTAAAAGTGTTCACTTGTCAACCTGAAAACCTGGTTCGATTCCCCACATGGGTACAAATATTACAATGTGTGAAGCCCATTTCTGGTGTCCCCTGCTGTGATACTGCTGGAATATTGCTAATAGCAACGGAAAAAAATACTCACACTTTATAAACAAAGTTTTGATTGTTTACGTTATTTGTCATGGTTTTAATAAATTTCATTGATTTTAATCACAAAATGCACAATTTCATACAGAAGTAACATTTACCAGTTTACTATCTTTGACAGGGATTTCGCATGATTTATTTCACCAACTGCACTGGAGCTTCACCAGAACATTCAGTGTCCTATAAAATAAACGGATGAGAAACCCTATGTCAATAATCAACGTTGGTCCTCATGTCCAAAGTTTGAGCCAAGACAGGCTTCTCTTTGCTATGCTAAGCACCAATGAGTCATTCAGTGGGAAAGAAAAGAGCTAAACTATTTTCTGACTCGAAGTTCAGGTTTCTAAAACAGGATAGCTAATAAACATGAAATGCACAATATTCACGTTTCCAAATCGTTTTAGTAAAGTTGGGGTAGCTTTGTGGTTACAATAGATGTGGATGTTGTATACAGTACCAATCACCTGCTTGTCTGGTCCAGACTCTTACCCAGCTGGACTCTCAATTACAGTGGACCACCATATAGCTGGAATATTGCTGAGTGGGGCGTAAAACTACTCAATTACAGTGGACCACATATAGCTGGAATATTGCTGAGTGGGGCGTAAACCTAAACTCGCTCAATTACAGTGGCGTTCAGCAACTAATTAGTCAGCAAAAATCTGAAACCAGAATATCACATTTAGTTTTTAGTTTTTTGTTGGCTGATTTATAAGCGAAGTTTTAAAATATGTCTGCCTAATATAATATACGACTGTTCCTTGGACAGCAGAACGTGTTTGACTCCGGTAAGGGCGGATGTATAGTGCTGTAGGACCGTGGTTGCTTAATGGGGCGTACGCTTGCAGTGGATAGTGAGAATGAGTCTTTGAGCAAGTATTTATCAAGTTTGTGTCCTGGGAATGTATATATGTTTGTTCTTAATCCTGTTGATAGATTGGTCATTTTGTATGCTATAAATAGATACAACTCACAGTTTATGCATATGTAGATATTTCTTGTATTTTCATGAATTTGATAAATAAACAAGATAAATATTTATTGTGCATTGTCATCTGTCAGGAACTCCGGTCGTTCTTCTTTTTAAATTCATATTTATTTCTCTTTTGTTGATTGTCTCCTTGGGTTGGTACATGGGACGTCACCTCGAGAACCGCGAAGATCTGGATCCGGGTTGCAACCCACACTAGTCCGAAGAAGCGACCAACGGGATTAGGTGGTCTTGCTCGCTGACTTGGTTAACAGGTCGTATTCCAATTGCGTAGATCGTTGCTCATGTTGTCTTTCATTAGATTGTCTGGTCCAAAATCGATTAATTACCGCCGCCATAGAGGTGGAATATTGCTGAGTGTGGCGTAAACAACTACCAATCTGCCAGGTGAGAAGACCGTCGGCTACACTACTCCAAATGACATTAAAAGATGGTTCTTGTTGCCCATCTTGGGTCTCAATATCGAGGGAATATTAAGCAAGGGTAATTTAACACAGCATGTCAGTGAGCTAGCCTATAGTACCCTACACGCAGCCTGCAATCGCTAACATCTGAAGGGATGGTGTAAATCCAGCTCGGGTCCATGCAGGTCTCAAACATTGTTCGAAATTAATGACTGTCCTTAGGCCCGAAACCGACTGAAAACCACTCAGACCCACAGCTTTTGGTTTCTTCGGGCCCTTGTGGCCTTGTTTGCTGGGACTTATTTATACTGTAGCTAAAACATAGGGCATTCTGATCAGGACCCACAACTTGTTATGGTTGTATGTCCTCAGGGCCTGCAGCTTGTCAGGGTTAAGTGCAAACACTGTAGAATAAGTATACAGGTCCCCCATGGTACCTAGTGTGGTGATCTACCTTCAGTTGTTGGCGACCTATAGTCTGTCTATATTGTATTGTATTAATAGTAATCGGTAAAGGATTGGCAGCTATGATCACGTAAGGTGTTTTTTTTTTCAGTTGTTACACAACGGTGTCCTGTCATAGCACACGTGACATCTATGGTTCGTCATATCTACGCTACTTCACGAAAAAAACCCAACCTTTTTGTTTGACAATAATGAGCAACCAATCAACGGATTATCGGCTAATCCTTTGACTGACTGACTGGCTGGCTGAGTTTGGTTTTACGCCGCTTTTAGCAATATTCCAGCAACATCACGGCGGGGGGACACCAGAAATGGGCTCCACACATTGTACCCATGTGGGGATTCGAACCCGGGTCTTCGGCGTGACGAGCCAACGCTTTAACCACTAGGCTACCCCACCGCCCGCTATTCCTTGGAACTCAACTGACCATTCCTCTCTTCTTGTTCTGAGGGCGGTGGCGAAGCCTAGTGGTTAAAGCGTCCGCTCGTCACGCCGAACACCCGAGTTCGATTCCCATATGGACAATGTATGAAGCCAGTTTTAGGTGTCCACCGCCGTGATAATGCTGGAATATTGCTAAATAGCGGCGTAAATATAAACTCACTCACTCACTACGTGGTAACCATTTAGTCAATGGAGTTGAAACACCGGCACCAAATTACCGGGACTGCCGCAAGAACCCGGTGTACTGCCCCTTTAACTCCGCTCAGTGGCTTTAGGGGGAAATAAGGATAGGGTGTTTGCAGAAATGTACGACGTGTCTGTGTAATCACATCTCGACGGCATTCGTAGTCGTTCTGACTATAATCCAAGGTTTTGCCGTATATTATTATACACTCGGTTAATTACAGACGGCGTGGCATAGCTCTCAATGTTCCACTGTGGCTCTAAAATAGCCTAGCGGTTAAAGCGTTCGCTCGTCACGCCTAAGACCTGAGTTCGAATCCCCATATGGGTACAATGTATGCAGCCCTTTCCTGATGTGATATTGTTGGAATAGTGGTAAAACAGCGTTAAACCATACTCACTCCACAGTGGCTCTACATTCTACCGGGCGGTGGGGTAGCCTAGTGGTTAAAACGTCCGCTCGTTCCGCCGAAGACCCGGGTTCGAATCCCCACATGGGCACAATGTGTGAAGCCTATTTCTGGTGTCCCCCGCCATGATATTGCTGGAATATTGCTAAAAGCGGCGTACAATCATACATACTCACTCACTCTACATTCTACCCGTCCGGCAATCCTGCTGCTCATGCTGTCAACCACTGGGTTGGTGACACATGTTCGATACAAGCGTTGAGGTCGCGGTGACAGCAGTAACATTTTCCTGTGCTTTGGAAGGACAAACACCTTTCACTACTTGATGTAGTGTTAAGGGCAAAGACGCGTGTCTGTGATATTTATACACAGTTCTAAGCTGTGTTTGTCCCTGGAAGGTTGGCTTTGTAGCCGCTAAGAAAATCTGTACAAACACCTCCGGTCTATATGCCACAAACAAAGACCCAAGACACCTGACGCGAGCGCAGCTTCACTCTGAATGCCGTATTCTGTGTGTGTATTCAGAGCTAACCTTTGCAAATACTGTACAAGTTTGCCGCTCTCCATGTTTTCTCTACCGCCGAGCTGATAACTGCTGAAAGCAGCGTTAAACAAAACTCACTCACTCACCCGACCAGTGCCTGATTTTCATGTGAAAACGACCTAAGTCTGCAGCTGCTAACACGTTTTCCTTGACCATCATTACCAAAACGGCGAGGTGTGACCTGTGTCACTCAAGGCCTTCCTCCCCCGTCAAGCAGACCACTGATATAACTGAAACATTGTTTGAAGTGGCGTTATGTCAACATCACTCCCATGAACCTGACAAGCCGTTATGTTATGGATTTTTGTCGAAATTCTTATATCCAAATGACCCCCACATCAAGTAAACACACCGTGATATATACTCTCCAAAACAATAAACTCACAGGTGTGTTTCTACGAAATTAATCTGCTAACTTTAAAGTGAGATAACAATGTAATTCTGGATCAGTTGCAGCCAAATTTCACAGTATAAGTGTCGGTGAACATGTATAGCGTATAACAGTTCACTAAAGAGGTGTCCGTTACCAGTTAGGCGTGGCCACAACAGAGCCCCCCAAACTGCTCCGCACCGTCTCGGCATGGACTGAATAAGTCATTGAATTCGACCTTGTAAATTCTGGCAGATTCCCCTTTGCAATGCCTGCGACAGTTGATTTAACGACTGGGGCGCTGGTTGACCGAATAGAAGTTAAACTGCCCAGAAGGCACAGAACGTTAGATTTCTGCGTGTAGGATATGTTTCCCCACATCGTGACACTCTCACCACCATATCAGTCCGATTTTCCTAGGTTGAATCTTCGATCTCACTGGGTGTCCTTTTCAATTTAAATAGAATTATTTTTTCTGATTTCATAAAAATTGTATATACTCAGAGACTAAGCTTTAGTCCTGAGCTAAGCAGTGACAACGGACAAGATGGCGCTCACCAACCGGTACCCGTAATCCAACTCACCCATGTTATACGGTATAGTTCCTGCTCTGGCACCTGCTGTGTGCCATCGGATCATGTTACGAAGTTAATCGTGTTGGTTTATTGCATCGGTAACTCGAGCCTTTATATGATAAGAAAGGTAAAGAATGGTGTCTCGCGTTTCTGGTTCAATTTATAATGTCCAGCTCTCATAATTAGCTCAATTGACCCCAAGTCAGTGACGACCCGTGAAGATCAGGGTTAGAATTGATCTTCAGTAACCTATGCTTGTCGTAAGAGCCGACCAACAGGATCGGCTGGTCAGGCTCGATGACTTGGTTGACACGTGTCATCGCATCCCAATTGCGGAGATCGATGCTCATGCTGTTGATCACTAGATTGTCGGGTCCAGACTCCCATTATTTACAGACCACCACCATAACTGGAATTTTGCTGAGTGCGGCGTAAAACAACAAACCAACTAAGTCAGTAACCCAGTTATCATCATCATCATCATCATCATCATCATCATCATCATCATCATCATCATCATCATCATTTCTTTTTACAAGATCTAGGGAGCTGAACCTTCATATGAATAATCCCAGGTATGGCGTCTCGCAATCGTGCTCACAGTATTCTGACCTGAGCTTAATAATGAGCGTAATGTTTTCATCATAATTCTGACGTAGTTGTGCCCTGCTACTATACTTAGTAATTTTGTGATCGTGTATGCATACCTGACATATCATTCGGACGTACTTCACCTTTGACGTCAAAGGAAAATATGCAGCAACCCCCGTTAGAGTGTCAAGGGACTCACTGCCTACCATGTTGTGATGGACACAGGTGACATCACGCATGCGCACGTACCTGTCGTCTGCCAGCAGGACGAGCAGACGTCATTACCAGGGATAGCGCTGTCAGGTGAGCGGAGGCTTCAGCGGAGAAAGTGTGTCATACCTGTGCAAAGTACGCCGGCAAAGTTTCTTCATTTTTGACCCGAAACTGACATCTTTACTCGCTGACAACATTGTCGTTTTTTCAAAGCAAAAGAATAACTTTTGCGATTTGGAACAGTATTGATCACAGTTCAATACACACTTGAACAAGCGTAAAAATCTTCAAGGAAGACGTTTAATTTCTGTTTGGATTATTCGTTGTTATGGAGATAGGTGGATCAAAGTCGTCGTTGACGTCGACAAAAGCATCGTCATCCCAGTTATGTGGTGGTATAAGCAGTAAACGCCTCAAATGGGGGGGCCGTGATCGGCGTGGTCGTCTTGGCAGTTGTCATCGGAGTTGCCGTCGGGGTGCCACTGTCCCAAGGAAAGAGTAAGCGGCAAACTGACGCCTCAAACTTGGAAAGGGCTAAACGTGTTCTCAGTGAATATCCGTTGATTGATGGGTGAGTATCTTTATAGTCACCTTGAGATTGAAACTTATTTGTATGTATGACAATTACATTGCCGACAGTATCGTTCCTTGTTGTATCTCTCCTATAGTGCAGCTAAAACCGTCAACTCAAAGTAGTTTGCCGTATGGAGATATACTACAAGAATGTACATAGCCCGATAAATTAAGAGGGTTTCACGATAACGAGGTTTAATTCACCTTTAAGTCACACTGTAATTCCAAGTGCAGGACAGGGAAGTGCAAAACAGTACTCTTTTTTTTATCTTTACACTTAAAATGATAAACGTCCGAATTTGGAATAAAAGGAAACTGAAATGACAAAAAGGTATTCCTTAAATGGGACTTTGCAAGCTCCCGTCTCTCTTTCTGCATGTCTGTCTCCCGCTCTCTCTCTCTCTCTCTCTCTGTCCCCCTCTCCCACTTCGACCCCAGATTCAGGTGTGCATGATTTAGGATGTCTGCCTAATCCTATCCCACTCCGTTTAAACGTTACAGCAGTCACCCAGTTGAACCATCTGAACGTACAAGCGTACTACCAGACTCAACCTCGCTCTTGTGGGTATTTGTTTTCAACAAATATGCACGTGTACTAAAGGAGAATTGCCGTCACACATGAGCGGCCTCAATGTCCCAAGTTGTATCCATGTTTGACGCCTGTCGGGGAGACTTTCACTTGAAGGCCCCTGTCACGCAACCGCACATAGGTCACGTGACATCTCCCCCACTCGGCTCCCACGCTGGACCACCAGTTCGTTCAAAATTAAAGGTGTACATCTTGTTTGGGTCACGGGTTTACATAGGCTGGTACAATGACCTCTTTTGAACAAGGGACACTAAAACTCTTGCATGTGTGCCCTGGATGTGTTTTTGGTACGAATGAGGTCAGCTGAAATAGGCCACCTATAGTATTACTGCAATGAAACAGAACATGTGCGTTGGTCTGATTCCCAGAGATTACAGAATCCGTTAAAAGAAGAATCTTACTTAATAATGATTGGACAAGACTGAAAATGCAAGATTTTATTAAGATTCAAAAAGAAATATTCCTGAAGGATTATTTGAACGATGTACCTGAAGCGCCTACTGATCATACCTTGATTAGTGATTATATATGATGTATTATATCCTTGGGACAACATGTCCTGGAATTCATCATAGAAAAGACATCATGGAATTCCGATCAGGTACTGATCGTTGCTTCTACTACCATCTTAGCCATGCCTGTTCCTCCACCCATAGTACGACTCTAAACATGTCCAAGGTGTCATGAAAATAACTTCATACTTTGTGGAATAAGCCTAAAATTCCTGCCAACAAGTCTGATCTTGTCCTAGTTTGATAAAGCCAAAAGAAATGAATTTTCTGTCACTTTTGACAGCAATGTGATTGGCATGATCCAGGTAAAGCATGATAAATATTGTTCTCCGTGCCCTTTTCTGTACCTCTGGATCTCTTGGCGCAGAGCAAGTGCTAGACTAAGGCTTAGTCTCTGAATATATATAATTTTGATAGTAACAAACAAGCCCATCTATATTGAAAAGGAGCCCTAGGGAGACCAGAGATTCAGAACCTGAGGAAATCTAGACTTGCTTTATTTAGGGCTTTAGCACTGCAGAGAGGGCTTGGCAGTAGGGAAATTAATGTGGTTCAGGGACTGTGAGACAGACTAAGCAGGTGCGTGCTTGGGTTCTCCGCCTAGGCCACAGCCCTTCTGACACTGTAGGTAATGCAGAAGGCTGTAGTGTTGGGGAGTCTTCATATTCACCGGGGCTGGGGTAGCCTAGTGGTTAAAGCGTTCGCTCGTCACGCCGAAGGCCCGTGTCCGAATCCCCACATGGGTACTATGTGTGAAGCCCATTTCTGGGGTCCTCCGCCGTGATATAAGCCCACTCACTAACTCATATTCACCGGACATTTCTTGGTGGGTTCAAGTAGGCAGTGTTTCCTGGGAGAAGTCCCATTCGCTGTCCGGGCTGAGTGTAGAGGGGGCGAGGGCCCTGAGCTGATTATGAGCCTTACCAGCCTGACTGTGCCAGGATCACCCGAACCATCTCTGCTGCATTCATCTATTCAAATCAGTAATATAAAAATAACAACTGACCCTGGCGGTATTGTAGGCTTAACGCTTACGGCTGCCCCGAGGTCCTACACAATTATTACTATACAGTATACCACAGTGAAGACACAAACCTTTGAAGTCTCTCCAGAATATATATCTTTGTTTTATTTAAAGTCTCTTTGGTTTTATTTACACTATAGGCGATATCATAGAGAGCTTAAAAGAACCAATATTGACACGACTGCTGCACAATATCTTGGATCGGTTGATGCCGAGGAAGGAGACAGACAGGGCCCACTTACACAGAACAATCTTAGGACAATCAGTCTCAGGCCCTTACAATCAACTTTACAATCACCATACAATTGCCTTACGCAACTAGCACAAAACCGACCCTAGCGATTGTACGACGATTTGGATTTAAAGGATTGACAATAATTGTAGCTCTAAGATTTGTCACCCGACCTCAATTTCAACAACTGTCATGCTAAAAGCGGTAACTGTGAGTGATATATTTATTTTTTCAATATATTAACATCCTGTCTTTAGTGGTTTTTTAAACTAGAAAGATCTAAAACTATGGTAACGATACTTTTGGGCGTCAGTTAAGTTTTCTTGACGTTATTTTGACCCGAACACAACAGAACATGGAGGCAGTAGGGAAGCTCAAGTCATTGTTCAAATTGTTTCAGCCTGCCTTCGTTTTCAATCAGAATTGTGTACCAAATTTCCCTTCAGCACAATATGACCTGTCGTCAAAAAACGGCCTTGGACTTATGTGGCAATATTTGTACAGTACATTCGCGCAATATCTCTACGCCACTGTTGTCCATATCATATGAGAGTAGCAGAATAGGGTAGACAGGCCAGGGCCTACTTTCACAAAGCACTAATGTGATCGTTAGTCACTAAGGTGAACTTGCGATGTTAAAGAATGGGAGTTAAGGTTAACCTTAGTGAGGTGAGGTGAAATTGGGTTTAACGTCGTGCTGGAGAATATTTCGCTCACATGACGACGTGCATGCGTGTGTATGTGTATGTGCGGCTGCTTGTACTAGCCCAGACTTTAGCTGGTTTTATAGTGCTAGCCCACTGAGATACCACGCCGCAGTGAAGCATGAATACCCCACTCAGACACATTATACTGACTCTGAGCCGACCAGTCCTTGTTGTACCCATTAATGCCGAGCGCCAGACAGGGACCAACAAGTACCATATTTTAACGTCTTTTGGTATGACGCGGTCGGGGATCGAACCCGCGACCTTCCGCTCTCCGGGCGGACGCTCTAACCACTACACCACGGAGGCGGTCTGTTAACCTTAGTAAAGGTTGTTTCGTGAAGGAGCCCCAGGACTATACAATGATACTTGGTTTGGACCCGTGAAGATCCGGGTTAGAATTGGTCTTCAGCAACCAATGATTGTCGTAAGAAGAATCGGGTGGTCAGGCTCGCTGACTTGGTTGACACGTATCCCAGTTGCGTTGAACGATGCTCATGTTCTGGTCCAGTCCTGATTATTTACAGACCGCCGCCGTATAGCTGGAATATTGCTGAGGGCGGCGTTAAACAACCAACCAACCAACCAACCAACCAACCAACAATGATTGTGTTGTGCCCGGAACCTTCACTAATACCCCTCAGCTACATCGTGCAAATCGTGAAATATGTAAAATCTGTAATATAATGGTGTGTGTTCACCGAAATGGATTGCGGTCTATGTATTGACAGTATGGACTGATCGTCTGTTGGTTACCTGGCCGGTGAATTTAGAACAGTTCGGATATATATTTTGTAAAATGCCTCTTGTTTTAATAGAACATTTGGCAATTTTACAAAACTAAGGCAGTTGTAATGTTTAATTCATGTGTTGTATTTCTCTCAACTGTTTAATGTTTAGCTTCAGTGAAAGTTGAAAAAACTTGGCTAAAACCAACTTTCGTATCCCACAACGACTAAGACATATGTTTTATAACTGATATTTTTACAGTATTTTCATGTAGGTTCTACTTTGCATTGTGCTATTGTATCTCCTAAGTCCCTAGTGAATGGCCTATGCATTTTAATCCAAATGGTGGTTTAATGTTAGCTTACTGTGTCGTAGACTGACTGACTGAGTTTGGTTTTACGCCGCTTTTAGCAATATTCCCAGCAACATCACGGCGGGGACACCAGAAATGGGCTTCACACATTTTACACCCTGTGGGGATTCGAACCCTGGTCTTCGGCGTGACGAGCCAACGCTTTAACCATTACCCCACTGCCCCTTACTGTGTCGTAGAAGGGAATGAGACTATAATGAATAACCTGTCTGAATTTATCTCGATGTCAGTCAACCAGGGGCCCTGTTTAATCCGGATTAAGTGGCGAGTCGTCTCCAAACCAGAGAGTAAACAAATCGGATTTCACCAGGGTAGACGTGTCATAACATAACCTACATGTACACTGTGTATATTAGGGGTGGGTATTGCAGAGAATTCTCATATTGCGATATATTGCGATGCGGAAGCATATATTGCGATATGTATTGCAATATATTGCAAGGATTATTTTTTTTTAACAAAAACTACTTACGATCGAGTTAATGCTTGATTATGAAGCAAAAACACAACAAAATCACTATGATTGATTAACCTTTTATAAAAAAATTTAATCATGACAAAATAAAAATGTAAGTAACATTTGGCGCTAATGAAACAGGGAAAAGAACAATTCAAAAAACGGAAATATCCGAAGATTTCCGAGTGTTACGAAGTTTTCCGAATGCATGTCAAAATACCGGTTTTCGATCAGCGTATCGCAATACGTATCGTTTTCATGTCTGAACCCGTAAATACCGGTAAACCGGTTATATTGCGCAGCCCTAGTGTATATATACATATACATGTGTATACATGTTGAACACAGTTCATTTACATTATTTTTTTAATTAAA